CCCCGACGCCTCTCACTCTCGCGTGGCAAAGAACTCCGAGGGATTTTGCAATTGGTCCAGAGTACCAGGGAAACGTCATGCGTCGCGGCGAGCGCCGGGGTTTCAACTTGTTATATAGGAGAGCGTCGCGGCGCCCTCGTCGTCATTTCTACGCCGACTGCAAAGTCGCGGTGCCCACCTACGGTAGCCCCAAGAGACGCTGAGCCGACCCTGCGCGAGTCTGTTTATGATAAACCGAAGAACCCCCGAGAGGAGGCAACTGGACCATCCGCAAAGACCAAAGATCAACTTCGTTGGACGCGATCCTCGAGCGTCGGGACGCTCCTGAGTCTCATTGAACAGCAGCAACAGGTGAGTCCGTATTTTCCAATAATTTATTCCATCCCTTTTCTTCTTGCTTCGGCAATTCTTCATCCCCCATTAACCACCCTTGACGCTTGACTCACGCGCTGTGTATATATACAGTGTATACAAACAAAAAAGGTGTCCAACACCCAAAACATATATGCAATTTTCTTTTTCATCTCACTGTCATCTGCTCCAACACTTTTTCATCCTCTCGTACGTTTATCGGCATTTCGAAGTAAACGCGGAAAACCGTCTTCGACGTTTAAACGCGCAAGCGGGAATTTTTCAGCGTGACAGGAGCTGCGGGATTTAAGGGATCCGATATAGCTGTAACGTATGAAATTGACTACGAGCATATGCTCTATACGACTCTGCCCTAAAGCGAAAGAATAATTTGACAGTTAATGGACGTACGGTAAATTTTCGAAAAATAGCGCGTGACACCCCGAATTAAAAATTTATATCCGTACCTGAAAGACGTATAATGGACGAGAGAAAATTTTCATAATAATTAATAAGACGAGTGTACGTGTGTGACTGGGCGTGGGGGAACGGAATGGAATAATAATTTGAAAAGTAAAAAATTTGAAAATACGATTAACCACAGAAAGGCAATTTATTTTGTGGAAACGAGAGAGACCGCAGAGAGCAGAGTGGTAACCGATACGACAGAGACACAGAGAAAAAATAACGAAACGGAAACTGTACCAGCCACGAATGGGCCTCTCTTGTTTCTTCGTTTTATTGCGCCACGGAAATGATCTCAAAGTTTCACATTTCACTTAGACAGAAAAGAGGCCAATAAGGGCCTCGTCTCCTTGATATCCACCGTTACTTGAACGGCATTATTATTATGTATACTTAAAATATCCCAATTTCATTCTCCACGTTTTAAAACGGACAATCAATATTTTCCTATTGCAGTCTGATCGTATTCGCGGACGACTCGTATGTACGTTTTAAATAAATGCTCGATACGTTCGGATAATATATCCAGATACATCGACCATTTGAATACCATATATATGTATTCAAAATATACACGAGCAGATGCTCCTATATTCATAATACACTTGAGCACTTTTTTTTCTATATGTCCAGCATACGTCCTAAGAATATCACCTTGTTAACTTGATAATAGTCTATTCCTGCGTATTTGTCACTTTTTATTTTCGTATTTTCACCCCCATATTATTCAAAGAAGCCTTGTGTGTCGTACATCGAAATACGAAGCACTCCGCTTTGTCAAACATCTTTTGTACCTTCTCTCTCTCTCTCTCTCTTACTCACGAGTATACCGAACCACCTGGTCCATGATCGAATACATTGATTTCTCTCTTTCTCTCTCTCTCTCTCTCTCAGTCTCCTTAACGTTTTCCTTGTCTCTCGTCGACCACTTTTCACAGAGCTGATCGAGCAGCACAGCGCATTGTCACTAAACGTCAAAGACTATACGGTGAAACGAGGCATTAAAAACAGGGCGAGTAAAGACACGTAGAAAAGGAAGAAGAGCGAGAAAGACAAAGAATAAAAATGATTACCCTCAGAGTCCAGTGTATAAAGCCAGTAGGGAACGTAAAATGCAATAGATGGAGTCGTGATATTAGCCGGCCGTTATTACCGGCTTAGCCAAGGCTTATAAACCGTTTATTACCTATGGATAAACGGGCGGTCAACGTTGTTCCCCGTCTTCCCCGAAACCCGCTATATCAAAGTCCTCGTGGAAGCCTTTCGCGTTGCGTCGCCGTCGTAGATACGTTTAACGATATATACACGTATACCAAAGGAATCTGTATCGCAGGAAAAAAATAACCTACAAAGATTCCTCTTCGAAGTACGCCTTTCTATAATGTACGTCCTGCAGGCGAAGGAAATACAGGAGGAATCTTAACTTCCCAGTGTCAGATCCACCCTCGAATATTTACTACAGGCTTCCGACCCTCCCACGTATATACACGAGAACCAATTGTTATTGGACGCGACGCTATGCTGACGTTAGGAATTTTCGTCCCGTTTCCCATAATCTTACCGCACAGTCTGACGGTCCCGGGACCTTTGGGTCTGAGGCTTTAAACTCGATGGGACGCATTCCTGTCGCTCCACGATTCTTCGCGCGATATCGGAATAGCCTAGCCGCATGGGAATTCGACAGTCACGAACGTAGTAAGTAACCTCACCTCGGTCCATTGTGGAGTGTGAGGTGGATCTTTTTTTAAATTTTTCATACAATCTCGTACCCTTCGTCAACCTCCCTCCCCTCCACCCCCAGTAATGCATGCTCCGCGTAACAGGGGTTAGGTTTTTGTTTTCAATTCTGGATTACCCTTATTAGATCCGAAATTCACCTTGTCTATTGTTACCGGAGGGACGCGCTTTTAAATCTCACTGAATTCCCGCGCGATTATCGCGTACAAGGAGATTTGCCGGGAGGATTAATATTCTTCTTTAGGATACGTGGAGATTATCTAAGACCTTTTTTTTCTAAGCAGAAAATAGAATTTCACGCCGATCTTCGGATGCTCTATGTTTTATTTTTTTTCTCTTCTTCACTTCCGATTTACCTTAATCTCGACAGTGTATCTACTCGCCAATAGGATACAGACATCCCAGGGATGCTGTACCGGACCTGGGACGTAAAAAGTTCAGCGTAAAGGAAAAATAATGGTAGAGACAAATAAATGTGAGTTAATCAACGACAGCAGCGCTCCGCTTCTTCAACGGAAATTTTCGTAACTTTGGTTTAACCCGCTCGCTTTTCGAGCGTCGTTTTATGTATCTTGTACGTTACGCGGGCGAATTTGACTATTATTTTGTTGCGACTAGTTACGCCGTCTTTGTCTGGTTACCCTAAAATCACTATGTCCACCGCGATAGTTTGTGTATCCACTAATGTACCGAGAATCGACGATACTCGTCTCGCGGGTTCACGAAGTTCTATAGGAAATAACACTTGCGAGATTGTCGTAGGCAAGAGAGCACGGAAGGATCTTCGGGTTTTGATTACCCAGAAAGCCCTGCTTTGTATGAAGTAGCTGTCTGCCAACCCCTTTGGAAAATATATGTCAGGCAAAGCAGGGGAAACAAACATGTCACTGGAACGCCAGGTACAGTCTTTTGTGTGTATATATATATATCCCGTTCAAAGTGGTACCGTCATAGAATTGCTCTTTTGAAATCTCAATTAAAAACATTAATTATCCTATTCTCAAAATAGCCCTCGTACCGTCTCACGCGTACTCCGGGATCTTGATGTACAAAAAAAAGTAAGTGAATTTGGAAGGAAAAAAAACATTTTTGAAGAATATTCAGAAGACACACTATTTAATACTCAGAGAGTTGATATTTTTGGCATTTTTTTTTTCACAGCCAGAAAATTCGATCTTGACCGAAGCTGTAATATTTCCATAGAGTATGATGCGGGCGAGAGGGTCAAGTCAAAGGGGTCAAACTGTGGTTAAAAGGTCGAAAGTCGATTCAGTCTGAATATAATTTATATAGGAAAAATCGTCGAATTATACGCGCGCTCCGTCAAGTGCGCCTTGAGCTCCTTTGATACCCCTGCGCTAATATCTTTTAAAGACGTAGGATAGCAGATATGTATATAAGGGATGGTTACGAGGGTTGAATCGCAGAGCAACGTGGATCAGCGCAAACGACCGGCTCGACTCGTAAAAGTGAAGAATTTCAGAATCTACCCTCTCACCTTCCACCCCTCTTGCCCCCATGACTGGATGAATAAGGGGAAATCTTAAGGGTTGAAAAAAGCACACGGCACGACCAGCCACTGTAACCCCCATCCGAAGATTCGCACTTTTGATTTAACACCCCTCGAGAACCGACCAACCACGTCCCACCGTCCCGCACCGGGATGATGACACTTCTTGGTATTCCTATTCCCTGCAGTCAGCTGCCTCTACCCTCAGAATTTTGATTAATATTTCCAACCACTTCGACTTTACGAAATTCCCTTCTGCCTCGGACTTTTATTTACATCCCCTAACGAAACAACCCCACGGCTTTACTTTAAACTCAGCTACAGGCATTCGCCCAGGTTGTTTGAAATTTTAGAATTTCCTATACCTCCTGCGAGTGCGAGAGAGAGAGACTTATGCGCGCTTACGTACGCAAGACAAGGACACGCATAGTAAATATCGAATAGTAAGGCAATACCCTTCGTAAGACCGACTCCGGCGTGATATCGGTATCGGCCGATTAAAATATTTTAATCTCGTATAAAAGGAATTAAAAGTTTTAAAGTAGAAAAAAAAAAAGGAAACAGAAGCTTCACGTCCCCAAATCGATCTTTCGCGACTGTTCGCAAGTCACGATTCCACCGTACATTTTTTTCACGCGACAACTGCCATTCCAATGCGTAATACTAAAGAGTGTTAATTTACCGTAATTTTATAAAACTCACGAAAGCTAATTTTACGATATTCCATTTCGGCAGAGTCAATCGAACAGAGTGTACTTGGCCAAAGCGATCCCGCGACAGCTGGATCGAATTCTGACAGATGCACCGAACGCAGTCGTCACCGTGTATAATTAATATATAAATAATTACGCTAAAAAGTAATCGATTAAAAATATTACTCACCCTCGTAATAATCCTTATCCATTAACACCACAGCGAGGGGATCGTCCATATTTTTTATACGATTAATAAAAATAATAATTCACTTTGTACTTCATCACACTCACTGTCACCGTTGACGCGACCAACACTGACTGGTCCGACTATTAATCGCGCCGTACGTAAAACGTAAATAGGCCAGACCCCCCGCCACTAGCCTGTCCATAACAAAGCCACTACCAAAATAAAGGGATATTTATAACCCGAGTGGCTCGTATACTTCTTATTACTGACAACGAGTGAATATAGCAGGGAGCGCCTACAGGCGGGAAACATATGAGTATTTACGATTGTAAGCAACTTCAGAGCGTTCGAGGTATCCCCGATGTCTACGCGCCAATAAATACAATATTTATGTCGTTGTATATAGCAGGTAAAGCCATGGCGATACGTTAAGGAAAGCCAAGAAGTCGATCGCGTGGACCATAACCGTACCGCAACCCTCATTACAGTGGCCATTATCAACCCCCGATGCAAAAAAAAAAATGGTGGACCCAAGCGAGAGGGAAACGGATATCTCTTCGCTTGATTAATCCCGGATTTAAAGGGTTGCGTTTCATTTGGACTGCGACAATCTTGCGGTCGTTAGCCGCTACCCAGAAGGCAACGGGAGTTGGAAAAAAGCTGAGGAGCGTGTCTGCCGAGAGAGAGAGGGTGGATTAGGGAAGTATATAAGTAAGAAAAACAGTAGGCAAAATCCGAGTGCTAGCCAGCCGGGGTGCGAGTGGATAGGGGATGAAGAATGGAATCGGCGTTGGTAATACGAGAACGCCAGCCTTCTCGCGGGATGGAATATCCCTGCTGGCAATTGAGGATTGCTTGTGCTGCTGTTATACTGGCATTGCAGTGGTAATGACGCTGGTGCGAGCCGTAACTGCCAGGAGGGGTTGAAGGATGGAGGGGTTGCGAAGGGGTGAAATTTGTCCGTAGTAATCTTGCACAGGTCAGCCCCGCCTACCCCCTGGGTAACGACCTTAAAGACTTTTTAAGAATTTCTCGAGATCGAAATTACGACCCCGCCACCCTTTGAGGATCAAGGGGATGATTTTTGAAAGTCGACAACCTTACCTTCGCACAGGGGTTAATTTTGCCATCGTAGGCAAAAGCTTTCTTTTCTTTTTTTCTTTCTTTTTTTTTGGCAGATTCCGAGCTTTCGCCGAAGGGTTGTTCATGAAGCGGGCTGCCGTCGATGAGGGTCGCTACAGGCGTTACGGCTGAATGAAGCGGATCGTCAAGACAAAGGGGATGCCGTCTGACATAAAGGGGATGATGCAATGACTTCGGGGTGTTGGGAAGTCAGGGGGTTCGTAGAGTGAACGAGGGTGGGCGAGGACTTTCGGAAGGGTGGCTCCATTATGCGTAACACCTGTTGCGAGTCACTGGACGGATTTACCAGCGTAAGTTAGCCGTCAGGGAAATTCTCCAGCGTCTTCATCCCCTATTCGCCGTGAGAGAAACGCACTTGAAAAAGAGCCAGCCCCTAATAGCGTAATGCAAAACCGAGCACAATCTTCCGTCCCGTGAACTCGCAATTACACTCCTTCACCCTCGTAAGACAGGGGTGACACGTGACAGTTCAAAGTTCATAGTGACCGGAGCACAGCGATGGGACTGGAATGTTGCAGCCAACAAATTCCACCTAGCGGACACCGAATTAACTTGTGTAAACGTTTATTACCTTTTTTTTTTTTTTTTTTTTTTTAAATAGAATCACCATTTTCATTTTCATTCCAGACGACCAACCCTCCGTTCTACGTCACTGGTTAATTTTCATCAAGCCTTTTGAATTAGAGATTAAGATGAAAAAAAAAGGTCGCAGCTGAAAAAAATAGTAATAATAATAACAGCACGGTAAATTCTTAGGATACAAACATTTAATCCACAGCTTATCTTCTCTCATGAGCGCAAGTAACGCCAAGGGAGTCGAGCGTGCCGGAGATTGTAAGGGATGCTGCAATGAAGGGCCTGTGAAAAATTCTAAAATTCTATAACGATACCAGTAGCGAAATAACACTCGACTTTCAATATCCTCTGTCAATATGGACGCGCTGGATGAGCATCTTATGTGTTGTTGTCTCACGAACCTTCTCCATTATTCCAAGGCATGGATCCGCTTCACCTTTTTCATCCTTCGATATATATAGTGCGGACCGGACTGAGCTACCCTTGAAAAAAAGAGATTAAAAAAAAACGTAATAACCTAGTGCAAACTAAAGGACAAGAATGTCCTGAAAAAACTGTGACGAGCTTTCCCATTAACGTATTGCTCTGGTTATTGATGGCCAATAGGGGTAGAAACAACCCCCCCCCGCCGCCGAACCGCCCCTCATAAAATAGACCATCACAAATCAAATATCAATCGACGAAACGTCGAATGAAATTCCCGCGAGTCATTAATCTCGCCGTGTTACCAAAAGCCAGGAGCTGCCTCGTGTAACATTGACTTTCGGCATTTAGTAAAATCGTTAGATTTCCTACCGAAGATAACGGCGCACCCAGACGTTGAAAAGGAGATGGCTATAGAGACAATATGCTTTTACTCTCGTTCCAAAGTCATTAAGGGATGATTGCGAAGACTGAAAATCCGAACGAGGGAAAAGCATAGAGTTAATACAGATAGAGCAGACAAGCCAGCTCTCAACGCGGCAGCGGCGAAGAGAGAGATAGATGCAAATCAGGGTGCAAAGACGGATAGCTAAAGGGGTTCAGCTATCTCTTTCTTTCTCATTATGAGCGAACGGACACTTCCACTTGCAGAGCAGCCTATGGCTTGTCTGCTCTATCTGTATTAACTCTATGGAGAAAAGGCACGTAAATCGTTGAAAAGTCATGTGGCGAAACCGAAAAATTGACGATTAACGAATCGTGAAACAGTATCCCGATGAAAAATAATCGTCGCGACAAACGCTAAGAGGTTGAAAAATTAGGAGTATTAAATTCAGAGAGAAAAATATCCCCTAAGTAAAAAAAAAAGGAAGACTTGGACGAACCCGAAGGAAAATAGGTTATGTTAGAGAGGGTAATTTTTAGTGGCAGGGACATCACAGGGAGATGATTGCTATGGGGTTAGGAATGCTCCGTGGGATGGTGGGGAAGGGAGGGAAGATGAGAAGGGAGAGAATGCGAGAGCGTTTTTCATCCCTCCTTGAAAGACGTTAAGAAACCGCGAGTCAAGCCTGCCTAATTAATTTACCGCCGGGGATTCAATTAACGAGGCCCCGAGTGAGAAGGAACCAGAGGGGGGTTCGCGTCGTTACTCTCTTGACTAAAGCCACGTTTTCATTCGAGTGCCGACGATTCCATAGATATCCACCGTGACGCTCTCAGTCCCCCCTTCGACCCCAGTGACTCCACAAAGCTCTAGTTAACCTACAGGAACACCAGAGGCGCTGTTGATTCATTATGAAAAATCCTTTTTGAAGATCCCTTCCTTACCAGCTGGTAGAGGTAGCAGTGACAAATATGAAAATAAATAAAAAGGCTACCCCTGCTCGATTTCACTTTGAATAATGGACGTTAGTGTAATGGAGGAGCTTGATAAAATGTTTAATAAAAATTTCTCCCTGTCAGACATATTTCAGAATGAGAGCCACAACCACCCTTGGGATGGGACTGGTGCTCCTGATGACAAGTGGCAGTATAACCGCAATGGAGGAAAGTGTCTTGACAGACTCCGAGGAGAGTCTTGGTGATCTCTTGAACGATTTGGGCCTGGATGAGAGTCCCGAGAAAAGGGCCTACACCTACGTCTCGCAGTACAAGCGTCTACCGCTCTACAACTTTGGCATTGGAAAACGTTGGAGTCCAGAGGCCTTGGGTGACACTATTGAAAACAAGGTGAGTCCGAGGGAATTTAAAGTACAAGAAAGAAAGAACGAGACGACTGGTGGACGAGTGGCAAGACCAGCCAGAGTCGAATGGTAGAGATAACAGAGATAAGAATAAGAATAAGAGGCTGATAATAAAGAAAACAGTGAAAGATGACTGAGAGAGCAGACTCAGCAGATAGATAAGATCTATAGGTATATCTAAAACGATAAAAACCATACCCAGAAGCAATTCACAATCTCAGTGTACATTTTTCAACGTTATATCTGGCAAGCTTTAACAAATCTTTACAGTAAATCCTTTCCTCTAAAAAAAAAACAACTCCTTAGAATCATTATCTTAATCCCACAATGCTAACCTATTTGAATTCTGGACGCATCCATGACCTAATGAATATATTGAACATCCTTAACGTTCGATCGTCTGATTACAGCGGGCCCGTCTGTACTCATTTGGCTTGGGCAAAAGAGCTAGACCATTCAGTTTTGGCCTGGGAAAGCGTGGACTTATAATGCAACAGGAATTGCCAAACGTGAACGTCCCTAAGAGACCCGGCGAGCTAATGGAGGATAAACGTAACGGACGCATGTACAGTTTTGGTTTGGGAAAACGATTGGCGAATAACGATAACGAGCTGGATAACAAGCGTGGTAGTGAGAGTCTTAGACAAAGATATATGTTCGGCTTGGGTAAGAGGGTCAACGAGGAAGAGGATACGGTCGCTTAGAGATCCAGATAGGAAGCGTTGACAGCAGCTACTCTTGGCCATCGATCGACCCTCCCTGTCATCCTACCAGATCATCGTTCGAAATACAATAAAAGTTGACGCGATAAATCGATTGATTTTTAAAAAATATATCTACGTATAATGCATATATATATATATAACTTATATTAATTATTTTCTTATGTCTTTAAGAACGATTGATCACTTGGGTCGGGACCAAGTGTTAACGTAATAATTTAAGTGTAAGTGAAAAAAAAAGATAGCTAGTACAATTCTAGTCGCTCTGCCATTATAATTCTTAAGTTTTAATGTCTAGGGAGCATAATGGTTATTTTCACAGTGGCGATTGTCACTTTTACGCAACGCATCGTCACTCGACGCAGCCACGACGTTGGCCGACAATGCACTAATTGTTTAAACTAACGTTGTTTCTATTATATTAATGTGTAACCACTCTCTGTCAGAATAAAGCGGCTATCTGTAACCCACAAGAACAGTGTCTGACGTGTAACTCGTATTTTTAACAGCGACCTTAACCAGACGGATCTTTCCCATGGGAATTGAATTAACGCCCCCCGGTAGACTCAGTATCATCCAGTGGTACTTTTCAAGCTGCAGGAACAGTCCGTACTGAGCTGTTAATCCAGCAAGTCAAATAATCTAAAAAAAAAATCATTTTTTCAATAAACAACAAAAATCACTCACCTCAAGATGATCCGTCTACTGGTGCTTGTACTTCATCCATATTTGGTACAGTCTCTGGAGAAATACTGGCTGCCGGATTTGGAGTGGCAAACTGCAGGTAACTGGGAAGAAGGTCATGTACCGGAAGAGGACAGTCATGTAATATTTCCGGAAGAGATGAGACACGCTGCAGGTTTTCCAATAAGAGGAGACTTCCGTTTGAGCGATGTTCATCTGCCAAGAGATGGCTCGTTGGTTCTGCCTGCAAAAGGAAAATTGGAGGTGAGTTTCTTTTTGCCTTCGTCCTTGATTAACGTCAAGGACTGACCTGAGAGGATGGATTGCACTTCAGCTGAGCATCAGGAAGTCCGACCAGCAGAAGGAAGCCAGATGGAGCAGAACGGGTGAACTACCTTGGGCAGATACCAACAACTGGAATTATTCCTCAGAAGCTGTACCACATATGGACAGAATACCTTGTTTCACGGATACCATGGTACTTCCTGCAAGAAATAAAACCTTTAGTATACGTCTACCCAGGCATGAGGTCCAGGTCAAAGGTGTAAGATTGGCCAATGAGAGGGAAACATTCACCAGCCTAGAATGGAAGAGCATGAAGAGAAACCATGAATTTGTTGAGGGTTACTTTACAGTAAGGTATCAACGCTCCACCCAGTACATAGTAAAAAATATTATAAAACTTTTTCACGCGCATACACGTTCTTGCAAAAATTTTTTATCCAAACTTCAGACTTCACCTGCATTACAAAAAGTACGTCGAGAAGTCATAAAAGTTCGAATATTCCAATTGTCCGGCGAGCAACGTGCTCGACCCAAAAATCCGGATGCAATATTAAAAATTGTAGGCATCTCTCGAAAGAGGGATATAAAAAATTTAATTTGACTCTTCAGATACGGCGATCTCCTCAGCTGTAAAGATTGTGAGTGTCAGAGCAAAAAATCCGAGCTCTGGAAAGAAGTCTGTGAAATTGAAATGCCAAGATGTGGTCTGTCGGTTTGCGCGTATCCATTGAAGGTTAGTTAATGATAAAATGATAATACAAAATAAAACAGACTTCTGTGATATCCAACAGGTCGAGGGTCACTGTTGCCTGTACTGCGGTGCCAGGGTCTCCCTGTCACCCACAGTATCCTTGGGAACGGTAGAAGACGCCGTGCGTGAAACTGTGGGGCAATCCGGAATGCAAGTAGCTTGGTACGTCAGGAAACGGTGGAACGACGAGAGAGAAATTCTCTTGGTGGAAACCGGAGTTTACGATGGCCTCACCAGTGCGAAGGCAGCGGATATGCTGGCAGCTAGAATACGAGGTTTGGCAATAAATATCCCTGGGATACACTATAGAATTGCAAATGATAAATAACAACGAAGAAGAGTACAGAATCCCTTGACAATAATACGTACCAGTAAAAGCGATATAGATTTCCGTGATAAATAATACGTAAGAATGTGAAAAAAAAGGCAGTATCCTATCTCTGTCCTCAGACTACGGAATAGATGTGGTCTCCGTAGAATTGACAGGACCAGCCTTATTGGATTCCAGACTGCCATTGACCCTGGGACCATTTTTCGGTATGGCTGTACTGGTCCTAATCTTCATGATGATCATCTTCCCCTACTACGGTTATTCCTACAGGCAGTAAGTATAATGAGAATAAAATTCAACAATCAAAATTCCACCGTTCCCACTGATTAACTTTCGGTTAATCTATTGAGCATGGAATTTCTTTACCTCCGAGTAGCAGAACGCCAACTGCCTGAGTGACGTTGGGAACGCACGCGTTCCTAAAATTCCAGGATAACGTCAAGCCAGTTCAGGTCAGGCTAGAAAAGTAATTACAGGGAATATGAAACAGAGGGGGCTAAGTGGAGCGAGTGCAGCAGTACCAACAGCACGAATGCATATCGTTCACGTGGCTGTAGGTGTGGAGGCAATATATCAGAGAAAAGAGGTTAGGTAGGGGCTTATGAGTATTCGAGGCAGGATCGAAATTAGTTACATGCTAGTGTTGAAGGAAGAAAAAAAAGAAATTACACTAGCTATACTTGGAAGCAAGCCGATACTAGGAGATGAGTAATAACAGCACTGAACCGGGTGGTTTGTATACAGAGATTTTTTTTAGCATAGGGTAGAAAATGGCAAAAGGGAATTAATTCTCGTATGTTAGGAAAGCTAAAAAGTCAATTAGAATAATGAACTTGATAGAAATAAAAAGGGAAGAAAAAAAATATATCCAGACATATCCTGAGGTAGCTCAGGATAATTGATGACTCTGAAAATCACATCTGCTATCTGCAGCACCTAACTCTTGTACAACTTTGGTAGACGTGGACGACTCCTCTGAGTTTGGGCCTAAAAAATGATTTGTCATTAACAAGCAGATTGGCACTAGGTTTAAGACGTTGAGCGCCACGTGCCGACCTGTGATCATTCTCTGTTCCTACACTAGGGTCCACCGATGGGCACGAGGCGGTCAACGTGTTAAGGAACCTCAAACAGAAATGACTTATCCTATTCTTAGATCTAGTTGCATTATGAAGTCTAGCTTTCAATTTGGCGAGGCAGCTCTCATTTGCTATTTGCCACTTGGGGCGTAGAGCCAGGTAGAGAACCTGATAGCATTTTACTCTCGCTTGCATGGACTCCATCCTTCTCTCCCTGGTACTCAATTTAGCTTCCCTGGAGTGGGTGGACCCACTTCAGACACTTCCTTCTAATATCTCGAGTCAGCCTGGTTCACCCAGTCCAAGTCACAGCTTGGCTCTAGTATTTAATTAGTTCAGAGCCGACGGAGCTAACAGTATAATTTCACTTCCACGGCGCTGGCTGTTATTAATGGCTGGAAAGGTACGCTGCTGCGAGACTCCTCCGAGGAAACGTAAACCTTGAAGAAAAGGAAATAAAAAAAAAAGCATTAGAATCAATGAAACCCATGAACAAAAATCATAAATAAGCCTACCTACATATATACACCCAAACTATTTTCCTCCAGGGTATCCCAGTCCTCGAGGGAGGCCTGGACGTCAATCCGCGAGCGTATAAGAAGCGACCCATCAAGGATCAGCAGACCCTTTGGTTTTGCCAGATTTGAGAACGCCACAGACGCCAACGTAGAGCTCGCATCATCCCCAGGCCAGGACGATGTGGAGGATCAAGAGCAAACGTCATCCACTGGGGGAAGATTCACCAATCCTCTTTACAGTTCCAAGCGAGGCGTTCCGGAGGACAAGACGGTTCTCAATGTCGAGGGAACTGTAACAATGGCTAGTCTACGCGATACAGTCGACAACGACGAATTTGTCGAGGCCATCGAAACGGACCTTAAGGATTAACGGATTTTCACGTATACTCAATTACAAACACTGCAGAAAAATACGTATACGGGTAAGAAAGCTTACGAGCTTTCGCAAAGTGCTACGAGAAAGACGATAATATACCTCTCAGTGGCAATAGGCGTCTTAATGCAATCGGGACGAGTCGAGTATCTGTAAAGCATTCGATAACCTCGTCATCGGATACGCCGGAGGAGAATTTGATCTTATTTCGCGATATCCTCTCTCTCCTCTCCTCTCTCGCGCATTCAGAGAGATTCGGTAAACAATTGAAACGGAGAACTCGTCGCGTTACGGTAAACAGAAGTAAAATCACGTTCTCAATACCGCACTGGATTATACCAAGTGAAACCGTTGACAATGCAACTCGATTAAATTCAATCCGATTGTCACTGAGATGCATTTCAGTGCAGTTATTCGATACTGCATTCGTCTTACTGGCTTGACAGATCTTCGGGATGGCTCGACGGGAAACAGCGCGAGCTTTCGTGAACAGATACGATGAGTGTGACGTCAGGACGAAAATTAATACAGTCGATAAATAAAAGAAATCAATCTAACGATATACGGAGAGAAATTATTTCGTGACGGACGCATTGTTACTTGTACGAATGTGATTGCCAATAAAGGTAAAACGTCGATGAATGTTTCACACGTGTTTATTCATTATTGTCAAACAACGACACCCATTCGTTTCACTTAGTCGCTCATGCGCATGCGTCACTTTGGTGCTCACGCGGAGAGTCCATAGTTTTAGACCGTTTTTTACACGCTACGCTCCTAATATATTCAATAGTTTAAATATATATTAAAACATATTTGTCGATATATATACCGTATATAGTATACATAAGTCAGAGCGCAGCATATATGTTAAATGGACAGGCGCAAAATTGATTGCCAAAAATCCGTATGATTTTATTGGATTCGTGGCACAAAATTATTTCACGCATTACACGCATGCGACGTATAATATTTAGTTTATATACAATTATATATCTAAATTATTTAACGCAATATAATATATATATATATATAATCTTCTATAAAATTTTATTCATAGAATATATTAAACTCTGTTTCGCAAACGTCCAATGCAATTATACGAATAAGTCGATTCCGTTAAGGACGACAAGCCTGTGAAAGAATATCTTTCTCTCTCCAAAGAATTTGCCCGCCCTTAGATGCGGCAGGTCCCCACGTGTAAAAATTGTCACCCATGCAGAAACGCGGGATAGTACGAAGGGAAAAGTATTAAAAAGAAATGGAGAGACAGCGTAGAGGAGGAAAAGAAAATGAAAAAGATAAGCAACATTACCCAGTCAAAAATATCATCTGTCCTAGGTATAATTATGATTAATCTAATTGATTCTGCGAATCTTCGTGTATTCTTGTCACACAATCAAAATTCAGTCACACACAAAATATACGCTTATACGCGATTTATTAAATTTATAATATTCTCTCTCTCTCTCTCCCTTCCTTTTTCTCTCTAATTATTTTTATGCACAATAATTATGTCCACACACGCACACGCACACTATTTAATTAAGGAATGATTTGCACGTCCCTGGCTATTTGGCAACGCCACTCGAAACAGTCTGGTTTATACAGGGTGTGACACGATTTAATTCATTTTTGTTTTACTTAATTAGAAATTTATAGGAAGATTACGCAACACACCCTGTATACGCTTGCCTGTGCATTAAATATAATTCCGACCGTCTCGAGTTTTCGGTAACTGCTACTGCACTCGCTAATTGATGCGAGAGAACTGAACAGAAGAATCTGTTCGCTGATTATTGGACTTACAAATGCAAAGAGGGAAGAAAAAAAAACAGATTTCAAACGAAAAATCTAATCAGCGACACAGAAGCTAACGATTTGGCTATTACAGGCTAATAACACCTAGCACCACTATGCGCAGCAGTTATTCGCGATATAACAAATATATATATATTCTTGACCTTTACAACGATATCACGCATGTAGTATATAGGTGTATATTTATATAACGAAGTCCTGGAATCAATTTCAAGCGTTTACGGCGCGCCGTAAATTTTGGTCTATTCGTTATAATTATATTTAAAAAAAAATAAAAAATAAAGAAGTTTACGCTCAATCGACGCCCGGACTCACTCTCAGGAATAAAAATGGACAAATTTCATGAGAGATAAGTGGCCGTCCTATCTTTGAACACCACTCTAGAAGACACTCTTAAACACACTGTAGTGTGATAGGGCGATAGGAGGCACTCGTGTTTCTCTTTTTTTTTTTTTCATTAAAAATCGATTTACAATTAAATTCGTATTTGTAACATGATGTTTCTCGATTATCATTAAAAGTTTAAAAGTCGTCCTAGGACTGTACATAAGAATGTGTACCGCACTGTGTCAAATGAAGGAAGACATTGGTGGAGCTAAGTAATTGGCTTCCATTTTCGTTGAAGGTCTTACGCGTTGTAGTTTCACAAAATATTTTCATTCTCGTCACGATGGACAAAGGCAAGGCACTCTTTTGTCTTTTGGTTCCTTCTTTTTTTTGTTTCTAAAGACAATTGGAACACGCGACCCGAACGACAATAGCTAAATTGCAATAACGCAGTGTACAATGATTATCTCGTTCTAATTAGGAAGACTGAACTTGCAGAAGAGTTTGTAGACGCTGTAGCTCCTTGAGGAGTTCACGATTCGTCCCTTCCAGGGTGTTCAATCTGTCCCTGTAAGAAGAATTTTCATTGGCCAGTAGCATGACTCGCCTCTCCAGGCCATCCATGTATTCCTTCTTCTTCCTGCGAGATTCCTGAGCTGAGATCTGAAGTAATGAAGAAAAGGAAGAAAAGAAAAATTACATTACGCTTAAAATGCTCACAACGCGTTCCACAAGTCTTCTACTGTAAAGTATGAAGCGCCCCTTCGTCCCAGATATTAAAGTATGTTTACCTTATTTTTAATTTTCCTTCGGACCTTCTTCAAAGACTTCTCTTCCTGCTTAGTGAGCGGAAGTTTCGTTGGTACCGGATATCCTTCAGCAATCAAAGTTCTCTTCTCCTCCTCCGTCAGAGTAAGCACTCCCGTGGATCCCTTCTGCGCGTATGAAACAACGAGAATTATCCGTAAGACAAATGTCAATATTTGTATCCTTTATTAGAAAATTCCAAAACTGGACGTATCAGGAACTCACAGGCTGACAGGATATTAAAGGTGTATGAATGGGCTGCCTTGTGGAGTGCGTATGCGGCCCGTTGCTGAGATAAAGACGCGGAGCAAGAAGTCCCCGCAGATTCTGCACGTGTCCAGAACCCTGAGAGTCCCTCCTTTCCGGTGAACAGGAAGCCGATACAGCACCCTCGCTATCAGAGCTCGCGCTGCTGGGTGGCGTAGGAGGTAGACCTTGTCTGGAGGCGTGTAAACCGACGTCACCAGGTATGCTGATGACACCACAATCTTCTAGCTCCATACCCTGCAGGTTAAAAATCATTGAAGATTCTCATATTTAATCAGGGAATCTTAAGAGGCTATTTACTCTGCAAAGATCATGATCAATCACCTGATAATACTCTTCTTCGTCCTCCTCGCTATCGCTCGTGTGCTCAAGATGATTCCTGGTGAAGTGTAAACGATGAGGAGCCACCACGGCGATGGTGTTCTTGTAGTCCACTAGATTAGAGGGCGCGCAGGGACTGCTGGGCTGGCTAAGAGGTTCTCCCTTGATCTCCTCGCAGGTCAGGGTCATCGTGCCGGCATCAGGTACAAGTGGTAGTCTAGCAGCTAGGGCCAGATCGGTGGACGGAGTTGAGGAGGAGATCTGCGACGACGAAGGTGATCCACGTCCCGTGGCCGTGTTAAGAGATATGGCCGGGAAGCATTCCTCCTCCATGTCTGAAAAGACCGGAAGCAGTTGCATAACTGGCGAACCTCGGCAAATAAAATGAAAATTTCCCTCTCGACTAGCAATTTCGCAAAAGATAAAATTAAATAAAGAATACAATAAAATGAAGTAAAGATAAATAAATCTAAATATGAATACGAGTCAAAGAGCGACACGTGCATCGGCGTAAAAGCTGAATAAACACTTCTCGGTTCACATCCAAGATCGTTCCAAAGTTCGACGGCGCCACACTTGCTCTCTCACTGATTGCTCCCAGGCTAATCGCATCGCTGATACTTCATAGTATAATTAAAATGCAACACTGTTGCAACTCCATGCGCGCGCGCGTCTTACAAAGTAGTCGACGCGCTCACCATCTATTCTATTTCGCAACTGAAGAGCCTTGTGATGTTCAACAGCGGTACCGGAAATCTTCTCAGGGCCAGCCGTGGATCCGGAATTAGGCGTGTGAGGATTGTCACCAGGAGTGGCAGGACTCGGTGGCGGACTGGATGTCAGCAGGCTGTAACTGTGCTCGGACTTGATGGGTCTGGGTCCACCAAGTGCAGCGTCGGTCATCAGTCGATCCCTGAGGACGACGCCCAGGCTGGATTTGTCCCTGAGACAGAGCACGCTGCCCCATTCCTCGTCGCGGGTAGCCATCAGGACGTCCTGGCCGAGTGCCTGAAATTTGAGTAGTGAGAACAGGCCTTAAGAGGTGGACTAGACATCGAAGGGGGGAAGCAGGGAGGCCGACAGGGAGAAGAGCGTTCTAACGCAATACATCAGCAGGCATAGGACGTAGAACGTCGGGAGAAGGGCGTACGGTCAAGTTGAAGGTCGGACAGTAGCCTGAAGTGGAGGACTCAGGTTTCCCCACCCAGCCCCACCCGGTCCCTCGCGCACTCACTGTACCACAACTGCTCAGGGACCTAGAGGAAGGGGCGAGGGGGGGTTCCCCCGAGTGGGCCCGACTCGCTCGAGCAATGCGGAACTCGGGGCCCCCCCAAGGTCGCTAACTCTTCGGATTCGCTATGCTTTGGCTACCCAGCCAGTCGCTCCGGGCTGGATGAAAGCGCTTCTATCGACTCGCTTGGTAGGAAGTGCACCGACCGGAAACCTTAATTCTATGCCATCCGAGTGACCGCAGTGATCAGCATCGGTAAGGAGGCATTTCGAGATTCTAGAAGGAATTTCCCGTTCCCGAGAATTCAGCGTGGAACGGACTGAGGTCTGGGTCCACCGGGCGACTCGGAACGGTTGACGCGCGTTCGCAAAGTACGGACTGGACGTTTGATTGGCTTCGGTGCGAGCTATGGGAATCGGCAACGTCCAAGGCACGCTCTTGATCGTTTTACGGTAGCCACGTGCGACCAGGAGCGTCTCTACGGGGTCCTATGCCCGTGAGAGTCTGGCGAGAGCGCAGGGAAAGCAGGAGAATTCGAGAAAATAAAATAACTACAGAAACTAAAGTGCACGACCAGCATTTAATTGCAGCTAGGATTTTACCAAACCGCTGAATCCTTCACCAACGTCCTCATTCTCCCTCTCTCTCTCCTTTCACCGTCCGTCCTCTAGGAACCATCTACTGCATATCGCGTTCCGTGTTTCCCTGAGCGATCGTCCACTCCTGGACCATTCTGCCTCTCTGTCTCTCTCTCTCTCTCTCCGGGTGCAAGAGAGAGACAGAGAACGGACAGAAGCCATAGCGTGCAAAGCAGCCACGACTCCGAGACGCGACTTCAGCGGCAACGCGTTCCAGCAATCCGTGAGACTGGTTGCTGACGCGCGGCCAGAATGGGAAGGTAAGTGCCGGTAAGGTGGAAGGTGGAAGGTGCCCCGGCTACTACCCAGTACCAGTCTCACCGAAGTCACGAAAAAAGGTTAACGTCCTCGACAGTTCCATCCTGACGCTCTCTCTCTCTCTCTCTCTCTCTACCTCTCACAGTCGCAGCTACACTCGCCGTCCCCCTTCCTCCCGCGCGACTCCGTTCGCCCCTTTCAAAAGACTAGTCTCTTATTACGCCTTCGCACCGGTGCGCCATCATCACTTTTTTTTCCATACGTCAAAGAAAAAGAAAAAAAGAATCAAACTGCAATATCGCAATCGGCGATTATCGTTCGATCTCACGCGTCCTCGAAACCGACGAAAAAAAAAATAAATTCAAATCTTCCATCTATACCAGCGTTACGTAAAAGAAAAAAGATAAGGAAAAAAAAAAAAAAAAGAAATTCAGAGATCCCACAAACGCGCATATTATTTTTTCCAATCAATCGGCCTCGGAATAACCGTTACAATCCAACCGCCGATAAGACTGCCATTCAATTATCATAGTCCTACTGCATCCCATTGGACTTTCGTGCTTCGCGCAAAGCCTTCGAAGCCTCGAACCAGGCACAACGAAAAAGCCGTACGGAAAAGAAGAAAAGAAAAAAAAAAAGAAAGAGGTTGAAGTTACGAGTCTAAGCCGTAGACGCGATAAGGGTTATTACGTTGGTCACATTGTTTACCCATACCGATGCAAAAAAGGCATCGCACCGACACGGCTCGAAATATCATTACGATATTTCGAAACGTCGCGTCGTTGCATGCGCGGCCGTATACGAGCCTATTATCGCGACCTGGTCGTAACAGATTGTTCCTGCCGGCGCACCGAGCACGCGCTTCGATGCTTTATCATCGTAGCAGGAGAGTAAGGAGACGGAAGGGGGGTCAAGACGACAATATACGCAACCAGCGATTAGGCACATTCAGCCTCGCCTAATACCTATACCATTCTGCGACTGAGATACGGTGGGGACGGGGAGATATTTTGAAATAATAATTTTCGAAATTGCCGCCTATTTGAAAATTCCCCCTAGCAAACAATCGTACAGCGCTTCCGGACTGTCATCGGGTAGTGGGTCGTTCGTCGAATCGTCCTCCATTTTGTTTTTCTATCGCTTCCTGTCTGCTCCAGTCAAAATATACCTAAGCGTCGATCCTTCGCCTTGACTTCGAGTCGGAATTGGCGCGTCGAATATTTCGGATACTGTCTGTACGTGCACGTGTATAACGGTACGGGCGATCGAGCGTGAGTCAACAGGCATCGCTACAGATATAGAGATTCGTGGGTGAATAATACGTAGTGAGCTCTGCCGGGATTAGCCCGAAGTTTGATTACGATTATTGAGGCACGTGAGATTCGTTCGATCGTATGAGTCGTTCGGGACGTGTAATCCATTGGGAGGATTTCACGTTGAGCGTAGATTAGTGGTACGAGCTGAATAAAAGGAAATAAATGACAGGGACGAGCGGGTGGATCGAGGGGAACGTAGACGTAGCGGAGTAGAGGGATACGCGGCTATTCTCGCGGCTAGGAAATAATAACACGAATGGCAAATTGAACGTAAAGGCTTTTTCGTCGGGCGCGAAATAATCTCTGGCGTCGAGGACACACGAGTCCATTCACTGTGGATGGGATGGATAGGTAGAGGGAGAGAGAGAAAAAAAAAGCAGATCAGGTCAATTTCGCGACGGATCTTGGAGAAGGACGCTCATTGGTCGGCGAAGTAACGACGCGTTCGTAAAAGCTAGTCAAAATGAGATAAATTTATAATTTCAAAATTTTGTCACGGTTGTCAGTCACCCCTCTCGCTCTGCTTCGAAATACACGTGAAAAACTGGCGAGTACTTCCGGCGACGGGAGAGGGGGGTCATTTCCGTTTTTAAAGGAAGAGAAGCCGACGGACCGTATTTTGACGGTATGACGTAGTAGAGTTTGAAATTAAATTTTAAAAAAAGAAAATGGCAGTCTGTATCTAGACTGTACCCTAATTAGATAAGATTGTAAAGTAATCGATTGGGTTATCGGCGATTCCCCTTTCTCACGTAATCACGTGGTGCTGTTAATTAATGATTATTGTTAATTAAAGCGAGAAAGATTTTTATCGACTATTTATAGTTCGCGAACGAATTACGCAACGTTGTTATTGGACTTTCTCTCTCTCTCTCTCTTATTGCTATATTAATATTCCCTTTTTCCATTTCCACCCACAGTCTCCCTCTCTCTCTCTCTCTCTCTCATATTAATTTCATTCACAAAGGAGATCCTTCTATCCTCGTGTCGACCTAGCTCGTGCCACAGATCATATGAACATCCGTTTCCGGGAAACAGGAGTACCGATAACAATTAAAGAGCGCCGATACTCGAAAACGTCATTGAGAAAATTCCGACTGCGACGTGAGAAAAGACGAGAGGGGCGAGAGGGAGGTGAGGGAAAAAAATTGTTTTTCTTTGCCGCTGACATAAGAGTCATTAATTGAATAAAAATAATTAACGAAAAAAGAAAAATATTCAATGTAATGATTACGTGCAATTTTATCGATAAATATTAATCGCCATTAATATATCGCGCACCTGTGTAGACGCATCCCTGAAACAGTTCCACGCAGAGCGCGATGGGTCAGAATGGTTAAAGTGAACAATTAAAAAAAAGAAGAAAAAACGAAAAAGAAAAAGAATAACAAAAATGGGGCGAGGCTAGCCAGACGCGTCCTCGGCTAAGTTAACATTAACAACAGCGATAATGAAGATACCGGGGCTGTTCGTCAGTGGTGTCGCACCTGCGTAAAGACAAATCAACTATTTAGCTCGTAAATGTATTTAAATTTAGCGGCAACGAGCAGCACGTTAACAACGTACGAGCCTGTGGCGATAAGGTTAATTAAATATTTTAATGACGCTCAATATTTTTCTAGAATTTTTCATTTAACTATCTCCCGCCCTCCTGCCGAGCAAAGTATCCCTGGGTATAGGTGTATCACTTAGGTGTTTCTTTTTTCGCTATAAATAATATTTCTTTTACTCGTTAAATATAATCAGTACGTGTAGGCCGATACACGTGGTGCGACACGATTGCAATATACATGGTGGATATCTGGAACTGCGCACGGCACTACGAGGGCACATCCGCGCGTTTCGCCATTAGGAAGCTACAGGTGTTTGCTGTTTGTGTAAGAGAGAGAGAGAGAGAGAAAGAAAATTAGTATCAAAACAATATTAAAAAATCGAGCAAAACTACCAAAGTCAATATGGAGTTTGGGCGGGTTATAAAAATTAAAAAAAAATACAATCGCGAAAACAGGATAAATCAGACGAGACATGTAAAAATATTCTTCCCGGAAATACGCGATTCCTTGCGAAGTACGACAACGTCGCTTTTTACGGATGCCGAGTTTGCTGGGCGACACACGTGTTTGGTCTGTCGGCCATCGCGTACACGGCCTATTGGAAATAGGTAAATTTTTAGGAATCTATGGGATAATAATAGACAGTCCCGTCGTCTATCCAATTCTAAGATAGCTTCGTGTTCCTTCGGCGATAAGAGGAACATTCTGTTTTGTAATCAAGTCACAGTCCCACGTGTACATTAATATACCAGAAGCCGGCGAACCAACTGACGTACGGTAGTACCTTTGTACAACTGGTGTATAATTAACGACGATAAATAGAATTAGAGATTTGAGGTATAGAAATAAAATATAATAAACCATGACTCACCGGCTCCGCCAGATATGATTCCCATAGTTCCCGTAGATCTCCGCTACCCACATCATAGAATTCCATGGTGTTGTGAAAAGAGCGAAGCTACGACTTCCGCCTCCTCTTCGTGTAAGTGGATAATTTTTTTACTAGGAACAAAACAAGGCGATGGGCAAGAGCGCCCCTCAAAGCGCCCAACTAAAGCCTCTTCATGGCACGTTCCTGACGAGGCCAAAAAATTGATAAAGTCCTTCGAAAATCCAGGCACGTCCAATGAGTTTGCCGTCTGCTGCAACGAGGAAGTCGTTCCTTCCTAGTCAGGCAGATTTTGAACCAGCCTTAAAACACGGGACGGTAAATTGCAGCGAGCCGATGAAAGAATCGTGATACCTAAAAAAAAATGCATATTTCAATGAACAATTATAACGAAAAATCTTCGACGATTAATAATGGTCGTACGCGTCAACGATATCGGTGCCAGGAATCGATTGTGCAAAGCTTTAAATAAAAATAAATGCTCAAGTATCCTAGAGACTGGATAGCTGCTGTTGGATATAAATCCCGTATCTTCGGGCTGTCTCTGTACGATTTCATGTGTTTCCCCAATGGCGGTACGAAGTCAAGGAAGCTAACGAGCCATTGGCAGACTGGACAGAACTATGCGACACGAGAATCATAACTGACAACAGGCGCCTCTCTAGTTTGTAACGGGATCAATGGACCCTTCATTAGCAGGAATAGCGTATACAGCTTGAAGCAAATGGGGTGTGCCTTAATACAACATTTTCACATTATATCATTCATACTTTCTAGAAATGCAAACGATTACTTTTTCCTTATGGAACTATACACACAATTTATTAAGTAACTGCGGTTCAACAGATACCATATGACCCGTCGAAATCAAGTAAAAAAATAAATATATACACACATACACAATAACAACTTTTTTTAGAAGCTAAAAGTTACATTGGGAATTCCAAAATACGTCAGTATTACTATAAAACGTACACCAGTATCCAGTGTATACGCACAGACTGTTGAATAAGATTACAGGACAGACAGTTTAACAAATAGAGTATAACGATTCGTAAACAATAAATATGTATATTTTACCTCGTGCCGTATTTGTCCCGTAGAGTGTAAATTCCCCGGCGATGATTATCACTTTCAGTATGTCACAATTTAACTGAAGACTATTCCTCCGGCACAGTATAACCGGTTAGAGGAAACTTCAACGTAATTCACGGTACGCCGGTCGGTGCACGCGTTCACAGTTCACTTGATAAAACACAGTGCGGCACAGTTAATAGAAAGATAAAGAAAAGGAAGAAGATACTCAAGACAGAGATGGATATAATATAGAATCGATAAGCAGCGCCCGCGTTAATCGCGAGTCTCTGCGAGCGGTCAGGGCCGGCGAGTGTTTGTCGTGTTGTTCTTGGAATGACTGCCAGTAGAACGAAGTCCCAACAGTACTGTCACGGCCGGGATAAAACACACGCACGCCCACCGTCTACGAGAATTAAAGTGAAGAAGACAGGCCAAGAGTACCAAGTGAATTCCTCAGCTCCTGACTTCTTGACGTATTGTATCCAGGGAATTTCCCACAGAGTGCGATAACGCGTATCGGTACACCAGAGAGGTTAGGATTCACGTCGCGGACACTCTTGTCCCTTGGAAGCCTGTTTGTTGCTTCTATTATATATATTTATGGTTCCAAACGTTTCCGCGAACAAGATCCCGTCAATATACACGTCCGTATACACGTGCTTCCCTATGTCCACTGGCTGCGCCGGGATTCAACCAACCACCGTGAACCACCTGTTACCATCGGACTTATCGGCGCGTCCCAACTCGAATTGGACGTCTGCGCGCGCATAACGGGTCGCGCCTTGTTGCAGGCAACAATTGGAAGCATTTCAGCAGCAGCGAGCAACCAGGAATGGTTAACGTTACTCCTCTTATCGCGAGGACCCCATGAGTGTGATTAATTGTACTGTATGCGGGCTGCACGGAATCATCGATGCGGGCAATAATAGATGCCTTTATTCTAGCCTCCATTAAGTTACATGCATTCCTGGTGTGGAAATGATGAAAAGGGGTGTGAAGCGAAGTACCGGAAATGGAGCCGGTACCAAAGATGAGTGAATGTTATGGGTTATCTGTTTGTCAAACTTAAATATATCTGAGATTTTTCTTGCATTATGTGTGTGCATACGTGCGAGTGGAGTACGTTTCGCAGCACATGGTTTTCACTGCCGGAAATTCAATTAGTAAATAGGGGCAAGCACGGGGAGACAGGGTGGTTAATGGATTTTACAGAGAATCGCTCGTTCAATTAGCTAGTAATACTTGGGAATATGTAAGAGAACGGAAGTATCGTTGGAAAAGATTTGTAGGATTAAGAATGTGAGATAAGGAAGCTTTTAATTTTTACCTATAATGCCGAGTCGTTTAGCTCTTAATGACTTCTTATTACGAAAGGGTTTCCTTTGGACTGGAATGATCGTTACTATGGTTTATTTGAACACTCGTTAATAATGAATAAGGACAGTTATATGGTCATATTGTGATCGGCTGAGTGTCCTTAAAGACTCATCAAAATGTCTACTATACTCTTGTTTTTACTATCTGGCTGTAAATCGAAAGTCAGACGTCGCGACGCCAACGTCGACTCGAATAAACTTGTGAAACTTTGTATACTGACTCTAGTGATAATGCAGTGTAAAGGGAATGTTACCATCCGCGTGGATTACTTATTGCAAAGTGAAAATAAATATAACGAATTTTGTTATTAACTTTATACACGTATAATCAAATTTACTATGATTAATCTACGTAATTAATTATATTTAGTTTTAGTCGGTTATCAAATATAATAGTCGAGCTATCAGTGATGCAGAATCTACAAACATCCTCATAAGTAAATGACTGTACTTTCGTACCTACATATTGCACAATTTCTACTGTGGCTCCATCGCACTTGTATACGACAGAATACTCAATCTATGAAGTAAACGTGTTGATATTTTGTATAATATTTAATCGAACGTTTAAAATTTAATATTGACAAAAAAAAAATGGCAAGGATCGTTGTGCTGTGTGTCTTAATTGTATTGGGTCTGTTGATTAAGGAAGGTGAGTTAGGATGAACTTACAAATTATTGCTGTAAAGTTGTTTACTATACTCTAAATGAATGAAAGGGTGTGGCTTGAATCTATCAATGAAATTAAATAATTATGAATCATTTTGATCTTGAAATGTTTTTTCTATTGTTTTAGGAGAGGCTCTCTACTGTTACAGATGTAACAGTAATCAGCCAGGGTGTGGAACACCTCTTAATTGGCTCTGGTTTTGGGGTGAGACTTGTCCAGAGTACGATGACAAGTGTGTAAAAATTATAGAACGGAAGGATGGTGAGTAAAATATCTGCTTAGAATAAAGAATTGATTATTTGTATGTTAAAATTGCTTTTGTTGTCTTTCAGCCGAGACCATTATTACAAGAGAATGTCTTAGCACAGTAACGAGTTTCAGGACAGATATGCCTGCTGACAAATACGAAGGCTGCAGGCCAGCTGCCAAGGATGTTCGTCTTGGACATTATGTGAACAATAGTATTCATCAACTGGATATTCATAGAAGTTATTATGACGAAGTAACATGGTGTTTCTGTTATTTCGATCATAGATGTAATGGAGCTACAAGTGTTACGGTATCAATATTGTTATTAAGCATAGGTACCGTTATCCATCATTTTACGATATGAATCTCAACTGCCTTGTAACATATTATTTATATGACTTTTTCAAAGTTATCATTCCACTTAGAAAGACAAAGACAAAAAGTTACAAATCTATTCCGTCCAACCGATTTTCGTGCAAGATTCGCCTTGACACGTTTTTATAAGCTTATTTTTAATATTTTTGTGTACAAGCGTAAATTCCTAAATGTAAGATTAATGATAGTCTATATGATAACATATCTATGAAGCAGTAGAATCTTTTGATAGAACTTTATTGTCACACGACTAAGATAATATCAAGGTATATCGCGGCTTTTTCAAAAAGTCGCCAAATTACAAACGTTTATACAAATTTCTTTTTATACTCCGTGCTACAGTGTATCGAAATTACAATGTAAAAGGAGATAAAATAAAGGTGCGCGAGCGCTTTCCTTTATCAAAATTTTCTTACTCGCTCTTCTTTCAAGATCATAAACCTTACGATATTAATCCACTGAGGGTTATCGTCGGCATTTAAACGTTATAACTCGATTCGTGCTTCGCCCTACGCTAAATGCACTACTTTATTCTACAATTTGTATCTCTAATCCCGATTACTCGGCATTCTTACTCGCATCACAGTTACGCGTCTCACTTGTCCTCTTTGGGGGCTATTTTGCGTTGCGTTTATGACTATTTTGGATACGTGCCAAATTTCGAAATTCTTAAATCGCCATGTCATGCTGGATGGCAGTTTGAAAACGACATCCACCTCAATTTCTCTCTCCTTTTTCTCTCGCCGTTTGGTATTTTATATATATATACTTTTTATTATCTGTCTACTAAACTCAAGAAAGCAAAGTGCTTTTCATTCTGTACGTAGAACAAGATAAAAAAAACAAGTATCGTTATCGTCCGTATTTCATATAAATTCAATGCTCGATATACAACAATACTGTCATATGACAAATTATTAACTTTATCACTTACGTTAATGATTAATGAGAACAAGACGAATTAAAAAAAAATAAAATAAAATAAAATTGAAATGTACGTCGATGTCTCATGTGTTGAAAACATTTTCAAAATTCTTTATTTTTTACACCGCTAATGCTTTCACGTGGAAGTGACGTGCGATTACGTTCATGACATGTATTGGGTCCATGAACGCTTATTCTTTGACTACGAATTCTTTAAGACATTCAAGCTGCATGGAATTGTACCATTTAGTTAAATGAAATTCGATGAATAATATCTCCTCACTGATCGCCGCCGAAACGGCGCAGATCCTTCAAGAGACAAGAGTTTCATTCGCTGCTGCGAGGAATTTTGAAGATTTTTCAATAAATAGGATCAAATTGGACTTACGGATAGTTGGAGAGGACATTAAAGGATAACAGGATACAGGAGGTTCCCACTGTTTTCGTTCTGCTGAGTTTACTCCAACGATTATGATTGGAACTATTGAAGGATTTACACACTCACAGCATCCCAAATCCTTTTGAGTAATTAATTGCTTTCAATAAACGATCTTGGAGCTTCTCTATCGTACTGTAGTCGGGCAAGAGTAAGACGTTGAAGCAAGTGTGTGCAGTAGGTAACCTAAAAGAAAATATAGAAAATAATCATTCAATCAAACCCAAGGCGAGAATTCTTTCCTCGTGGAATTATTCCCACCTATCAGAATCCGGTCCATGTCTCGCTATAACCATTTTCAACCGTGAAAGTCCTCCCACAGGAACTCGATCACTTCCTGTGGTGAACTGAAGCAGCCTCCGTTGACTTTCCGGAGGTAGAGCGTGAGCAACCCGCCAGAAATTGCGAATAGCTTCGCTCTCTACAGTGTAACCACCCTCGTATTCTGTAGCTGCTTCCAATTCAGCAAAGTCAAAGATTTTGCTTCCGCATACAAGCTACAAATACAAGGTAACATTTAGTACGGTACACTGGATGTACAGAAACAATGCTAGAGTAAATAAAAAAGAAATAACTAAACCTGCTCTATCTCTTCTGGTCTGAAGAGTAACGCCAACGGACTTTCGTCTGTCACCATCTGGAATCCACGCCTGAACGCTTTGAACTGTCTCTCGACTGATTTATTTAATAGAAAGTCAGCGTAGAGATCAGCAAATTCACGTTTGGTCTCCTGAGTGACATAAAGCTCATCCCCATTTTCCTTCAACTCATGAAACAGTACAGAGCCAAATACATCTCTGAAATTGAAAACGTCTTTCTCGTGAACTCATCTTTACTTTTTCAATTCTGTAAGAGGTTCCTTACTTGTAGCCAACCCTGAAAGTCTGCATGAATATATCGGGCATGTCATCCCCAGTATACTCCATCAACTCGGTCATTGTCCTGTAAAGCGTTGGACTCCAGTCTTCTAGATCGGCGAAACCACCCTTCCTACCTAGGAGCTTTCGGTAGACCACCATGGGAAAACGCACGTCAAGGATGACGTTGTTGTAGATCGCCAGACCGAGAACTACTCCTATCAGGGTGAACTGAGCATTGCTTTCGAAGGAGGTTGGATTAAACCAGGTGGTTTGTGTATCTTCCTGCATTGTAAACATCCCATAATCTGGGTTGAATATCTCTTCGACCACCAGCTGAAAGAATTCCTTGGAGACGCCACCCTCGTCGACACCCTGTTCACCTTCGAATTCTACGACCAGCTGCTTCTTTAGATCAGTCGGATTCTCCATTGCCACCATTTCCAATTCAACCAAAGCGTCATCTATCAAATGATCTCTTCGTACCTGTTTTGACCATTTACATACATTCCTTTAGAAAAATACTACCAATTTTGATCACTACGTACTCACATATATACACCGATGAAATCTTGACGGTATAATTCATCGAAACAGAAATATTTAAAAAATCATTCAATGATCCTACCTTTAATCTGAGATATGGATTCGTAGGCTGTCCAACGACAGTTTGTAAAAAGCTCATACGTCTTTCGCTGTACATTCGAATTCTATTGTCATAATAGAGGCCAAGTGTCTTTGTAGCTGGTGTTAGTATAAAGGCGTAATTCATGAAACTAAATTTCCTAGGTTGATCGCTTTTATAATACGCAAAATCCTTATCCATTTCGACGGCGTCGCTTAAGGGTTCGTTGTAAAAGTCGTTGAAAGGTATGAAGGGTTTCCTTGCATCCAGAGAAAATATTCCCAATTCCATAGCGAGTTTATCCTTGAAGAAGATATCGAAAAAAATATTTCTCCATTCAGTTTATAGTTATCCGAAAGTCAATGAGGTTCTACCTGTACTGCCTGGGATGATGTGTGTGTCCTGAGTCCAGATTTGTCCAGGTCGGTACTATCGGGGTCCTCGTCTCGACAGGACTCAGGAGCATCCAATTCACCAGCTAACATACTAGCATAATAAAGTATCTTCATAACTTTAGTAGGTGCTGTGATGGTATCCGCATCCTGAACGCAATAGTCGCGCGTAAAGGAACCAGCTATGACCTAGCGTTGCAAAGTACGGAATATGAATAGTGGCATGTCCAGGAGGCACAGAATCGTCATTGATGCTCCATCGTACCTTCACAGTGATCAGCTGCTGCAATGCTTCCAGAAGACTCCGTAGACGAGGTTTGCAGTGTCTTGCCCAGACTCTGGCCAACTTTGCCTGGGCAGAAATCCTCAGGCAGCTCGCCGCTTTACAGAGCATGTGAAGCGCCAACTCCAGATACTCGCTGCTACCCAATACTGGGATTTCGAACACGATGAGGAACACGTTTAGCAGACTGTCAGTACTGTCCGAGGGCATTTTACCAAATACCCTTAGGTCAAGCTCGATATTGTCCGCCAGGGTGACTAGGGCATGAACTAGAGCCGACTCAAACGCTTCTCCTAGAACAGAGTAGTGGTCATCAGCAAGACAAAGATCTTCCTCTATTTCAATTCTTGGAAGATTCCATGCGTCAAGACTTAATGCACACCAGGAAGTGACCAAAGGGCTGCAAATGCCCTCCGAACTGCGGGGAGATCCACGTTTGTGTCATCAGGATAAGGCACCGCTGGTGAAGGGTCACTGCTGTCCTCTTCCTTATCCTCACCCTGGAGTGAACGGACGGCTTCTTTGCTGAGATCACCAGGTGGTCCTAGCAGAGATACTGGCGCTCTGTCCAGTAATGCTGTCAGGGGTGAATCATTCTTCGCTGTCTTTTGAAAACTTCGACTGAGCGCCTCCGCCGAGGAAAAGACTTCTCCCAGGGTTCGTATCAATAACGAATAAGATCCTTCTGATTTACATCTTTCTATTATGTCCAGAAGCTTCGCTTCCGTCAGATATGGCACCGGTTTTCCTGTGTGGTGGAAATTCATTTGTTTACCAGCTTCCCTCCTGCTTTATTTTAAACGCAAACGCAAACCATATACGCTATACAACACATACACTCAGAGGATTATAATTTTATTGAACAACTGTATACAGGAAGAACAATAAAATTTATGACCAATAATACGATTTACTTATTCTTTCATTTTCTCAAGCAACAACTCATTTTGTCTCAAAATGACTAAGTGAAAATTGGCTAGTGAATTGTATCGAGGGATTATCTAGTTTGTACTTTTTTAAAATATCTTTTGATATTTAAGTAGCGAAGGTACAATGCCAGCAACATTAATTTTGTAACATCAGAACGTGACGTATGTCTCGATCGAGATTTTCGAAATTCAATATTCTTTTTAGTGTGATATGTTTTTCTTGAGTTTATACAATTTCGTCTTTTTGATCTTCTCAAATTTTTAGCATTATTATTACGATTTGGAACATAGACACCATAGCGATTTAGTATTTGCATAAAGCAGGAATCATGTTCTGGCAATATAGATTCATTGGAATCAACTTCTGTTGTACTTTGAGTATTATTTAAAAATGTAATTTCATAGATTTTACTAGAGGCTTTGGATTTACATTCATCTATATCATTTGGTTTTGAATCATTATTAATGGATGTGCTGTTGCAAGGTTGGGAAGTTACACATGCTTCATGCGGTTTTACAACACAGGGTTGACTAGTTTCTCCTAAGTCATACTTTGACACACCTTCAACGGAACAGGTAGGATTGACGCTTTTGACTGGTAGGCTCTTAGCTAAGGATGCTGGTCCTGGCTCCAATGTGGTCCTAGCAACTTTGCTGGGCTGTGTACCATCGCAGAGACGTGCTTCCTGAGAGAAGAGCTGAATTGCCTGGGCCGCAGCTTGATTTGGTGTAAGATTCGTCACCTGCCATATGAGATTCCTTGCGTATTGATTGATCTATCATTCCTCTGATTGGAGTGAACGAATGAATCAGAATAACTCATACTTTCCCACTCGATGCACAATTCTGATTATCACATTGAGGATTTCCACAACCATCAGTCAGCTGATAGAAGTAGCGTTCGATCAGTTTTTTAGCAGCTGCACGCTTCATATCGCTGCAAGGGCTTTCTGCTCCTACCCTGTGGAATGACAATGGTGTGTCTAATTGTTCATCGAAGACAAAGAATTTAACTTGAACGACAGAAATAACATCAAAGGGAAGATGAAGTAGCAAAACCGACTCCAATCTAATTATAAACTACGATTCAACATGGAAAATATCATGGCCATGCTTTGCAGCAATTTCAAAACAACAAAGTCACCCTACGATAACCACTTGGAAGAACTGAAGTAGTAATCCGCCAAGATTCATTGAATCAGAAGGACACGACGTGGTTTCCAAAAATAAAATAACCCAGAAAAATTGAAATTTGCTCGTGTACGATGTAAACAACGTATAAGTTCTCAGCAATTTATACAAAACTACTACTATCTATTACAAGTACACAGAAAATTGTCTGTCCTAAATGAAAGAACCAACAAGTACACAAAAAATTCTTTCAAATAATTCACACAATGTAGACTAACCTGGATGCGAGGTCTTCTCCAGGGTCCCCTTGGCCCTTGGCGCTCATAGAACGTGAATCGTGGAAATGTTATTGGCTTCGCCAGGAATGCTAGAATTCTCGCGAAGGCCTCGCGCACGGCGATATCGTCAGGAACCGTCGTCACCACTAGAAGAACAAGCAGCAGCAGCAGCACTACTACGGAGCACCGAGCACAAGCACTATATCAGCAGTAATAAAGAAGATCGACCAAATAACTCACTAACACAGTAACTAAATTTAGCGCAAATGGTTTTCACAATGACGAGGAAGAATTTTTTTCGCGAACGTTCACGCTACTCAGACGTAAAAATATTAAAGACAGATCAAGAGTGAGAATTGTGAGTATTAGCCGTTAAAGGAAAAAAGAAATTACCAGATATCTACACTGTCATGCCCGATTGCAATGAGGCTATGTCAGGTTCGCTACTTCTTTCAGTTAGAACAAGAATTTCATTTACAGCTACGAAGACAAGCAGCTGTAATCACGATGTAAGACGAAACTGGACAAAACGCCAGACTGAAAGTTTCGATTCACGTGGCTCATCGATATTGATCACCACCACAGATCACCACGATGAATCGCCAATTTTTTTTTCTGCTTCTCTTTTTCCAATTCTCTCTGTTTCACGTCTAACCTCCTTGTATCTCTTTTCAATCTTTCTCTCTCTCTCTACGCTAAACAATCGTCTCTCCTCCCTCTTCTTTTTCTTCTCTTCCTATTCCGCCTCTCTCACTTTCTCTATCCTTCCTTCTATCCCACCCACTCTATTCGTATTTCTCAACTGTTATTCGCAACGGTCGTTTTGGCTGCGATTCTCGAATCTCACAAAATCGCCGCGAATGCAAACGTCTTTCATCTCGATTCGCTTCTTCGACCAAAATCGAGAATAATCTACGCCTACGCTGTCTGTTTCCATCGGAGTTGAGCTGAGAGATTTGTTATTACTTATCTACATACATACATATTTATATACCACAAGATTAACTCCGATGGAAACAATGATCCGCACTAGTTTTTTCGGACCAAAAAGGTAAATAGACGAATACCTTATGTAATATGATGTCACACGAGTCTAAATACCGCGGACACCTGCAGATTGACATTACCAATTGAAATTCTATATATAGATATACATTCTACATATCACAATCGCGCGGCACAGAATACACGGGCATTTACAGTCTAGTTATATTCAGTCAATAACAGTCAATAACGTTTAGTCAAACAATGCTGGACTCGAGCGATATCGAACATGTAAGAGTGTTTAATGTATTTATCTTCAGCCAATATTCAATCATTTAGGGTACCGATGGAGCACAGGATGTCTTGTCAATAATTGTCTTGAGAAAACCTTCGAATAAACAAGTCGACAGGATCTCAAGTCTCATAACCACGTACACAGATAATAGTTTGACAGGAAATCAGAGTGCAAGTCGCGTTACTGAAATCATAGGAGTCGGTATCGCAAAAGATGCGCTATGATAGAATGCACCGTGTGCAGGCTGACTTTTAGTGCATCGTTTCATTGGAGTTCATTAATCAGACTTGTTAGAGTGGTTGGTGTTTGGCTAAGAAAAAGGTCAACTCTCTCAAGTCTTTACTCGTACAATAAGCCGGCGCCCCACCCGCAGCAGTGCAGTGCAATTTTTCTCACTACGAACTCGCCTGTTCTCTTGGGAGTCTTGTGAGAAGATTCTTGTTGATAATGGACAAACATTGATGAAACTGTCATAACTTGTAAGGTAAGTATCGCTCAGTATGGAACATATATATTTGATATTGTTGGTCCACAAATTCGGTATGCGATTCTCTGACAAATCAAAAACTATGAAAACCCTAGTCGGTAACACGTGCTTTCGTGAGATTCGTAGCAATCATTTTTTCTGCAAGAATGTCATGGTATAATTTATATTATTGCTCAAGTAGTCTACTTTATGTACGCGCCAAACTACTGCGTAATTGTTTTATATGATTAGGTGTATTGTGTTAATGTTATAAAGTATTTTCTTTCTTTCAGTAATATTGGCAATAGTAGAATTATTGGCTTTAGCCGTGGAATCCATATTACATGTATGTTCTATGGTTGTAAATTGCATCTAGTTTTGTTCACAGCGTAAAGTAGTAGAGTTGTAAAAAATGGTGTTACGTAGAAGTGTCATTGGTATAGCATGAAATTTATACGATAAAGTTGACGGGAAAGAACATTTCTTAGATCCTTAAGTTGTCCTCAACTAATGCGTCAGTGTTCGGAAATGAAGAACCAGAAGTGACGGTGGGCATATAAGTACGTTTATTGATATCCTCAAAAGTTATGTGGACTAACTTTCGCATGCTGCTAATCGTCTAAATTGAATTCGTGGATAGACTATATGTAAATATTTTTATTTTCTGTATACACAAATTATTCCTTGTTTGTCTGCGATCTTCAGCTGAAATTCGTGAATCATGCGTAACCTGAATTCACGAGCTTGATTTGTAAATGAATTTGTTAATTCTGTTGGATAATATGGATCATGCTTTATTGCTGTGCACTGTTATATATTGTTGATTTTGAAGATTGTTCTTGAACTACTGGCTTGCTGCCTTGCTTGTACACTTGTGATTCTCTCGTTACTCGAATATCAATTTGTATAATGTATAATATACATGAAAGAAATGCGTGTGACGTTAGGTTACGCGGTGCTCACATGAATACAAACGGTGAATAGTCTTCATTTACGCACTATTGTTTTTCAATGTATTACTAGTGGTCGTGGTTTGTTTATAGATGGTTTTAACTGTCCTGAGGTATTTGTGCAGTTGGAATGTACTTATTAAAAATAGTGGAGTCAGATCTATTTGAATTTAGAAACTGTTCTCTATGGAATGACGAAAGACTAGATTTTGTCTTAGTACATTGTTTTTGATGAATTTAAATCAACTGTGCATTATATGTTTGCAGAAGCATCATGTATGCACTTCAGATGCAGATCGCCTGCCAAAGCGAAGGCAATGGCGAACCTGATGATTCAAATGGAGTACTTCAGGAACCTACTAGGACTGCAAGTCAGGATTGTAGTTCTTATGACATCATTAAAGCCACCCAGGTAAAGTAAGCAAATATTATTTAAGAATAGTATTAACAAATATTTCTATATTAGCAATGCTCATGGTTTGAACAATGTTGAAACTTTACAGGTTGATTTTTTTATTCTCTTATACATCAATATTTATATTCAAAACACCTACTGTGTGTTAGATATCGCAAAATTGACTATTAGGAAAGCTATAATGTTTTCTCTTAATTTTACAATTATTTCTTCAGTATGGTGCATTGGAGCGTGTATCTGAACTGGTGGAAGGTGGTGTGGATGTCAATCAACCTGATGCAGAAACAGTAACCTTACTCCATTGGGCTGCGATAAATAATCGAAAGGAAGTAGTTAAATATTTGATTGCTAAAGGAGCTGTGGTAGATGCGATAGGTGGCCTACTAGCTTCTACACCGTTGCACTGGGCTACACGGTGAGTGAAATGATCTTCACTATGAAACATCTGTTTCTAACTGACTCTATTAATTGTAATATAAAAATCATGACACTGTACAAAATTATCGTTCCATCAATGCCAGATCTGACAATACTCTGATATCATTCACAAATAAAAATATCTATGGTTATTCCAGACATGGCCATTTATCCACTGTTGTGATATTAATGAGAGCTGGAGCCGATCCAACTCTTAGAGATTCTGAGGGTTTCTCATGTATTCACTTGGCAGCACAATTTGGCCACACGGCTATAGTTGCTTATCTAGTTGCAAAAGGAGTAAATCCTAACATGCCAGATAAAAGTGCTTTAACTCCGCTCATGTGGAGCGCATACAAAGTTAACAGGTATCGAATAAACAAATATGGTGTCTAAAGAAAAGAAATAGCAAACAAAAAATATCGTTGCGTGTCTATCAATACATTATGTGAATCGACATCGTTGGTACTTGTTTTTTTACAGTTTAGACCCAACCCGTCTCTTGTTAACTTTGGGCGCCTCACATTCACTTACGGATAATCTTCATGGCAATACAGCCTTACATTGGGCTATAATAGCTAAAAACAATACAGCAATATCCACACTAGTTCAACATGGAGCATCGTTAGACGTACCAAATTTTAAAAACGAGACTCCACAGACCCTTCTGGGTCCTCACATTGGAGCTGCTTGGCTCGGACACAAAGTTACACAAGCAATCAGAGAGAAACAAGGACGTACCAGAGCATGGTGTAGAGATAAGGTAAGCAATTTACCGTTTGTACAACACAATAATTATTTTTATTATTACAATGACTTCATATCCGTACCATATTTTTGTATTTTCAGAGAGTACGATGGTACTGTATGGTCAGTACTCCATTCATAGTGTTTTACGTTATTGGAATAGTACTGCAAAGTGGGTTGGATTATCTAACTAAACTAGGCGCCTTCCTCACCATCTACATAGCAGTCTATTTAGCAAATCATATTTTCTTTGACGAAAGGCTGTTTCACATTCTACCTATGTCCATTTATTTGGCAACCAAGGTAAGGTTCATGTAATAAACAAACTTGACTGTTGAATCTGACATAAAAATACCAGTAGATTTTCTCAATCGATAACCAGATTAAGTAATCTAGCACTTGAATTGTGGTTATATAAATTTTTCATAAAAAAAATTGAATCCGAGTAATATTATATCAAAATTTTAAATAAATTACAAAATTTATGACATCAACAATGTGATAACAATTCCTTTAGAATATTCTTCATGGAACCTAGAAATAATTTCTATAGCTTTCATCTTTAAATTCACGGTATTATCAGGCAATAAGCACGTATCACTTGTTATCGTGGCAATGTATTATCCATGAGATAAAATTACATACTTTGATTACGAGTCGATATTGTTAAACGATAAAGATCACCTGAGGTCTTTAGCGCAATCTGCTCTGCTCTCATTAGAAGTAATGTCAATTACAGATGTGGATATATGCTACGTGGATATTCTGGCTTGGCGTTCACGCAGCCTGGTATTTATGGCTTTTATTAGTCGGTGGTTCTGTTCCTCTTTGGGTATGTTTCTTGCAATCGTGGAGAGGAGATCCTGGTATTATAACAGCCACGCAAGAAGACAAACTCAATGTGTGTAATGAAAGCCAATGAATTTAATGAAACATGGGCGAGTGAGGGTAGTCAGTAATAATGATCTCATAAATTCCAGACAATAATAGAATTGGCAGAATCCGGTGGTTTCGAACCCCAATGGTTTTGCAGTAGCTGTTTGGTCAGGAAACCAATGCGCTCTAAACATTGTTCCACTTGTGATCGTTGCATCGCACGGTTCGATCATCATTGTCCTTGGGTCAACAATTGTATTGGTTAGTAAACTTGTACTGCTGTTGAAGAAATTGGTTTTAGTCTATTGAATGAACGTCATCTGGATTTCTTTGCATTAACAATCAGGTGCGCATAATCACAAATACTTTCTTGGCTTCCTGGCATCCTTACTTGCGCTCTGTATCGTCGTTCTGTCCGCAAGTGTTCAGTATTGGCAATTCGAATGCTGGACAAATCTTACGAACGGTCATAGCCCTGACAATTACCTAGTTGCCGCAGCAACATGCGACGCCTGGGTCACTTGGGTCGCTGCAAACACGGCTCTGCATTCCTTTTGGGTTGGCACACTCCTGGCATGCCAATGCTATCAGGTTTGTCCCTTGAAATTGAGACACACATTATTTGTTGATAAAAATTGTATTTTTCCATGTGATATAATTCTGTGACACTCCACGGAACCCTTAACCGCATGACTCATATTCTTCTCTCTTTTTATCAGATTATGGTCCTGGGCATGACAACTAATGAACGCATGAATGCTGGCCGCTACAAGCACTTCAAGCAAGGCAATCCATTCCATCGCGGCGCATTGCAAAATGCCGCAGACTTTTGCAATTTCAGTTTTTGTGGCGTCAAAGCGAAACCCAGTTCCGATTGGCTGCACAGTTTCGACCTGAAGCAAAGCATAGAGAAGCTACCACTTCTTGCTGCTAAGGATAACTTTCAATACGTCTAAGATTGATTGGTTGTCACTTATTGAGATTTATTGTCAATGTTATTTCTAGTCACCAGAAGCTGACAGAGACCATATCACTTAAAGCCTGTTGTATAATTCCACGCTACCAAAGAGTTGCAGGTGAAAATATTTAGGTAACATCGCGCAAGGCAGTAGCTATTAAAACGTAATCTAAGACTCCTTGGAAATTGCTGGTTCTAGGTTGGCTAGATTGCTAGACGTGACTCTTTGTTAGGAATGGATGTTGCGGGTAAGACTGCTCATTTACATCATACACTCTGTATCGAGAGCCAGCTGAGTTATATGGAATTCACACAGTCGCTCGTCTGTTGCTTGCCAGAAAATTGTGAAGGTGATGAGCAGTATTTGTTCTGTCTCCTGTTTTTTCTGATATATACAAAAACTTAAGCTTGTTTTTTATTTTCAGTTTTTTATGACTTTCATTGATTTCTGCTACTTGTTGCTATTTATGTCACAGGTTTTCCCAACAGTATCATATATCTTATCCCTGCAGAATCATTTCATTATACGACTACAACTATTCTATTGAGAGGAAGTGTCCTGCGAAGCTTATTACTTTGCTTCGGTCACTCTTTCATTTTCATCCTTTCGATCGAACAATACTTACATTTGTTATAAAGCTTTTTGTACTAGCTCTTAACGTTATGTGACTTTTTAAATATTTTACTATAAGTTTAAGAGTTTACTGTGATATCTGTGCTTGTTACATCCTGGTCGAAGTTCAAACAGTGCTGGTCTGTTAAATATAAAGAATTTACAGTAGAAATACAATTATTGGCAAGCGATAGATCCAGATTTTTGGTACAGGCAGAAGTTGTTATTTATTTTTATTTTTATTCTTTTTAACTCCATCACCTTTATCAGATGCAGCTTAAATATCTAAGTATCAGTACGTCTCTGGTACTATTTTCCCTCTTATCACGATGGCATTTAAAGATTAAAATTCTTATAAGATATCCAATTCGAAGTCGAATACCAAAAAACCATACGAGACTTTAGAACAAATTAATTTAATTATCATTGATATTGCGATTATTTGTAAATATTATTTAGCTCCATTTCGTATAACTTTACACGACTCATTGGTCATCCGGTAAAATGATCAAGGAACATTAGTGGCAGCTCTGCTGTGACCTTTCCATACGATTTAGACAATCTGTCTCTTCTTTAAATAAATTCCATTTCATTTGCATCATTTGATTGGAAGTTATATCTAATAATTCTGATATTAAATTCCATTTGGATGCTAAGTGGTCTTTTTATTGCGATGCGCAGATACCCGAAATACAGTAAAGAAATACAGAAATCAAAAAGCAACTCGTGATAATAACGATTTTATTGTGGATATCGCTCTTCTAAGAAAATTATGAAATCAATTGATCTACATTCCAATCCTTATCAGAAGAATATTAGTGCTGTACGATTATATTACTATATATCGATTTCGTAATCCGTAAACAACGTCTGCACGCCTTGTGACGACACCATTAATACTTTACGTGAGAAAAGAGTATCGGTGAACTATTAATTAACGAATAATGATCGCTTTAAGATTGTAATTTATATATTTTTAGCTAATAAGTATATTTCCTACTTCTCAGCTTACTTTACGATACGTTATAAGTTTCGTTGTCTGTGCGTATTTTATATATACATATATGTGTGTAATAATTAAAGCGGTCAACGGGCCGTAATTGTATTACACAAGTTTTCTGCTTTTGTGAAAAAAAAATGTAAAAGAGGTAAGACAGTCACTACTCTCTAAGTAGCGCGCTTACTACTGACACGTCATAGTAACGCCAAGCAAACACGACACTACTCTAGTATAAATAATATGCATTGACTGTCAGAGCGATCAGTACTTTGATTTCAGAATTATTATTTTTTAATTAATATCAATTAATTGACGCCTCTCTGCTATTTGGATTAATGCCTGGCGACGTACGATATTGTAGCTTTTGTTTTCTTCGATTTTGGAAAACTAGTCACCGATCGCTTTGAGGCGACAATGTCAATTCACTCGCTGTATATTAAAACTATTAAGAATATATGTTATACTCAATGTCAATACCCTCTTTTGGTAATGATTACGTAAGTACAGTATATACGCGGTCTTTGTACGATCCTCATACAGACGATGGATTTATCAGAGGATGGTAAAATTATGTCATGTAGAATTTTTGTCACGTCGATATAACTCGTGTCTAATTTACAAACAAAGTCCTTTTTTATTTAATTTCTAGTCCAGCTAACATTGCCAAATGCTTTTGAGGCGTCTTGGTTGTTTCTGAGTTCTCTTGTAGCTTTTTATTTTTTGTATCGGTGAAATTGTGAATGTTTAGCTATTGTAAAAAAATTATTAGTAACAATAAGTATTAGAGAACGGAATGTCCTACTAACAGCATAGTGAAATAATTGTTAACGATATCCAAGGTGGAAGAAGTGGATGAAACGAGAGAGAGAGCAAAGCAAGCAAGACACAGTACAGTGTATGATTCTGTTATATCGAATTTTGAGAATTCGTTAAAATACCTTTGCTATGCCCTTGCTAAAAGACATTTCAGATTAGAGAAAGACGCAGAGAAAATAATATTTTCGTATAGCTAATATAGTCACGATTAGACGATACGAATGCATTGTTAGTGTATTTTGCATGATGTTAATGTTAACGCCCGTAAGTTGTATTGCCAGATTGCAGATTTCCATTTCGTTAATCAGATTAAATATGAAAACTGATTGGACTACGAGAGAAAATAATTGTAGAGCCTTTAGGAGGCTCTTGAGGAGCACTTGATTTTAATAACTGCAATACGCGGATAAATGTTTGAAAAATTACGAGATTTCGGCACTCCAATTCTTGGAGATGTCTTTCCTTGTAAATCGACGGCCTGTAAACGTAAATCGAAATTGTATTATCTTAATGTTTGTTGAAATTCTAAAAGAAATTGTTGTAATGATATAATTAAGACTATAATAAGGCGACGTTATGGTTAGTAGTGACTATCAGCATAATTTGAAAATTTCGAAATGGTCTCCTTTACGTTTCAACTCGAACTGATCTCATTGATAAGATTATTCAAATACTTAATCGTAATGTAAGCCTTCCTAGATATCACGAATAAACGATTAATCCGTGATACTTAATTGGCACGATTATTTTCTGATTCAAAGATTAATCCAGAGGAACTGTAGCGCGACAGCCATTATTACATGCACAACATTTAACAGTCATTCGAAGCGATAATGATTCCGAGCAATTCCTGTTTGAATCTTCACGATGGAAAAATAGCAAGAATCAGGTTTGAAATATTAAAAAAAAAAGTTACATCGTAATATCATCATTCAAACTATAATCATTGTCATTATGAATATTACAGTTTCAAATTTGTGAGCGTCGAAAAAACCGTTCTGGATGGCGCATGCGCACTTGATGTTCGACGGTAGCGCCATCTCTCGGAAGAACGAAAATTCAAAGCTAGTTGAAGCCGGTACGCCGTGGTACGTTGCCTGCAGCGTGCATAACCGTCCATGAGGTGCTGCCATATTTGTTTAAAGGAAAACTGAGTTTTTTCATTATCATAGAAAACATGTCATACCACTTACAGGAGGGAATCTGATTGTTTAGAAAGTAAGTTAATAATTTCTTTGTTTTAATCGAAAACTTTATAGACGAACAGCAAACGTGATTAACTGCGTACAATTACGATATACGCTGAGATAAATTTGAATGCTAATTTCGACATTTGACTCTCGGCAAACTATTTCCCTTTATTACTTTAATAATAACGTGATGCGATTCTAAATATTGCTCGAGGTTAACGTGCTAATCCTTTTCGGTTTAAAGCGCTCGCTCTCGTATCTCGTTAAAAAACGTTTCTCCGTTATTATTATGACGGCAAGTAAGGATTCCGCGATAGCGCACGTTGACGCGAATGAGAACCGTTAGTCGTCCGGATCCTGGTCTCTCCCGAGAGAAAAAGATACGATTATTCCAAGTTTTCTCGTCGCAAAGGTATCTAATCTGAAGACGTAACTTTGAATTTGAATGTTGCGAGTCAAAGTAAGATGAAAAGATTTTTAGTGGTTTTATGCCATCGTGACGTAAGCCACCAAGCGATCCTGCTTGTTTTCCTTGAAGAGAGATAAGAGATGATAGCGTCCGTACTTCTTCTACCTATACGACAGACGCTTTAGGGTCGTCGTTGAAAAAGTTAATGGATTTTTTTATTTGCCCTAACGGCTATGCCAAGACGCTAAACGCGTAGGTCTCTCTTCCATCTTCCCAACCTTTTCCACTTTCCTACCTACTCTCCGACGCTCGACGCCATTCCTCTGGGTACGATTGGGAAAGGCGCAAGGTCTTGCGAGGACTTTCAAAAATCCCTTTTTTTTTTCTTTCCTTCTCCGAATCTTACAAACCGTCGCATTCCAAGAGATATTCACTCCCCGAATTTTTCCGCAAGATCGGAGAGGCTGCGGAGAGTTTCGCGAACGGAATATAGGCTCCCTGTGGAATGGCGGATAGGAGCGGCGAGGGGATAGAAGGAGAAAAAAAAGGAATAAAACGGAACAAGGGGATTGGTTGAAAGTTTCTCTTTCTGCAAACGTGCAGGAAGTAAGCGCGTTCCTGATAGACACTCTAGAGAACTTTTTTCTTTTCTCTCCCCTTTTTTTTTCTCGTGTTTATTTTATCCACAGCCCATTTAACTCTCAAATACGCAAGCAATTTTCCTCCCTACATCCGGTGACGTTGCTGGATCCTCAATGCTGTCACCAATTCAGGCGTTCAATGATACCGGTGATACCTACACGGAATACTGTTTGAAATTTTCCTTGGCGAGCAAACAAAAAAAAAGGAAGGAAATGTAGCAGCAGGAAGTCTTCTAAAAGCAATCCGCTCGGATCAGCAGATTAACCCAGTGCGACGAATTCGATCACGAAACGTCCTCATCGAGTCCCCAAGATTACATTTAAAAGCTTCGAGATACGAAATCGACTGTTTATCCTTTTATCCACGTTTTCTTTTCGTTTTACAGATAGACGTCCGACTATGGGGGATCACGTACGCGCTGAGCAGGTACACGGCTGGAGGGACATTCGTGGGACGCGCTAAAACGCAGCTATAAAATAAACGTAAGGCTACGTGCGCCCTGGAAAGACTCCTGGTACCAGCAGCTAAACAAGTCATGAGAGTTGTTGGCCCACTCTGCATGCCGAGGTATCCTGGCACGTGCTATGACTTTCAACCCCTTCCTGAGCATCTTCCACCATCTACCACTTTCCAGAATAAGTATCAAAGAGAGACGAACCTTAGCCAATTTCCTTGGGGATGCTCGCGGTTATCCCGTGGTAAAGGAGACTAGCGAATTGGCAGTAACTGCAGGTGAAAAGTTTTTCTATCCTTTTTGCCCTCGATTAGGTATAAAAAGATCATACGGACTTACAGCGTCGTGGCGTCATATTCTTCGGAGGAGTATAAAAATTCCACTTGGCCGTCTCGTTAAAGCGAGATGCTTTACGGCGTCTTGGCTGAATGCTATGCTGGGCTTCTACTTCATCCACTCTCCAGGGAAACACATGGTTGGCACTTCCCCTTCTGTACCTAAAAGACTAGGGAGGTTTTAGGGCAAGTGTGACGGCGCTTTAAACATTAAACGTCGGTACATCAGCGCATAAAGCGGTCCGGGCCCGTTTTACAGGCCAGTAGGTAGATATGAACTGCCGCCTATCTAGGTGCATAATAGTTCATCCTCTACGTTGGGGATGATCTTCCTTCGTCATATAGCTCTGCGTTAAATTAACGAAACTTTACTCTCAAATTTTGACAGCCACTGAAGAGGACGAAGGAGGAGAGAACCTTCATTAGCCCGGATCAACTAGTTCGGGTTTGGTTGCTTTGCCAAGAGCACACACGTTCTGGCTACAGGAGGGAAACTCGAGTTTTAATCAGCGGCTCGGATTTCGAAGACGACGCGTCGCCTGGAATCCCCTACCCATCAGATATGTACCGGTAGTATCCTAGGAAGTGTCGTGGCTCAGTCGTTATATCCCTGACGAAGGTACTCCAGCACTCATCCTTGGCCAATGTTTGCATATACTTTTAGGTAAATGATCGCTTAACGTCCGCCCTGTATTCTTCTTTGTTAATTTGACGAGGAGTCAGGACCCGTGTTTGCGCTTATTAATTTAGCAGGAGGCGTTGCTCCTTAATACCGTTAAAATTCTGTATAAATATCCGCCTGGCGAAATTTTACTCAGTTTCTCTTTCAGATGCTCGAGCACGGGGAACAGAGAGAGATACAGATGAAAAGGGTGAAAGGGGCCAGCAGCGGAGGTACTTACGGGTCATTTATTTCGATTGTCAGAAAAGGGTGCTAAGCCTCACGGAGAAGTCCCTTTGTTTGTTTTGCGTTTATCATCAGCCAGTTGGCAATTCCCGTTCGCGTTTGCCAGCAGTGACTTTTTAGGCTATCCAACAAACTCATCTAAGCTGATTTCAGAAAATTTTCTCACAGTCACCCGTTAGATTGCGACTCTGCTCGTCGTGCCGGATTCAACTGTACTTTCCTATTGCATATCTGACCATATACACTTTACGTCCAACGTACGTACATACGTGGCGTCCCTCTAATCAAAGCCCAGACTGATTATGTTAGCCCTAGTTAATATTCATTCTACGGTCTATATAATTTTTTCTTCTCGTTTAGTTACCACGCCCTTACCCCTTCTCTCGTGTCCATCCCCTCCCTTTATCAACGCCCGTTACATGCCCTCGTAACACGTGTTCGTTCATCCTTAGATTATGGCATTTAATTTATTAATATCGCATAACGACCCATTTAATTATACATGAGCTGTAACGTTTAAATTTTATATTACGAGAATATTCCACTTATCTTTTTTTATTTTCTCAGGTCACCCTGGCAACCGACGACAAATTGCCAGTGGTCCGTGTCAGCAAAAGGAGTCACAGCTTTACCTTGGAATGAATTCCTCGACAAATTACTTGCAGACGTTAACGAATGTGGAATCAATCGGACCGGGTGTACCAATCGGAAAGCAGCGAAGAAGCTTGATTCGCGTAAGCCGAAAAACTTGCTTCCTGTTAAGAAAATTAGTCTCGAATCTGGAAAGAAGGATCCGGCGCCGTTCCGCGTGTACTCCAAGTGTACCTGTTAGCTTTTCAAAAGTTTGGCAAACTTCCTAACGAGCCGTCGTGGACGTTCACACCTTGCCCCTTTCTCTTGGTTCGCGTTTATTCGTTCTCATCCGTTTTCTTTTTTGTCAATTGGCCTGAATTTTCATAGCTTGACTCATTCGAACTTTCTTCCAGATCGAGTCGCCAACCAGTCTGTAACCACGTGTGAAATTTTGCCTTGTGTAATTATGCACGTGTCCGTGCATATCGTGCCATTAAGTGGCAGCATAATAAAACAACTACTCCAATCTCAATGCGCGTGGGTGGCGACCTCTACTAATGGGGTAGAAAATGGAAATGGTCACGCGTAACCACACAGTATGTATTTCCACCCTCTGTCTAATGGAAGGTGTAGGTATCCATAAATGTACGCTGTATTCGATATCGCGTAACTGTACGTCCTTGCTGTATACTGTATACGCATTTATTTATCATTTCTTTCCTATCAGCTCGTTAGCCACGTTGTTAACGAAGTCACTGTTGCTGCATAAAAGCCACAATTTTCTTATGGGTCGCCAGTCCTATGTCCAAGCGCCAAGTGGCAATGCTGCTTTAGACAGCAGAACTGAAATCGCAAGGTAATACATGTGGTACAGTCAAAGTGTGTGATACCTCCTGGATGTTAGATGAAATCGAATAGCTACAGGACGCGAAGTCCCGTAGAACAGTACCCTAGGGATTTGTTGGCTAGGGTGGATTTAGTTTGCGGCCAAGATAGAGATAGATAGAGAGAGAGGGAGGATAAGAAGAGAATAGGGAGAAGAATTTCTCGATGATTCACTCCTCTCCTCTTCTTCTCCTCTCCTATATTTTCTCCCCCGGGTAATATAGCGCCGATCGAGTTTCTTCGGCTCTTATACAACGTCAGGACTTTTGATCAGGTTCCCTTCTTCTATTTTAGCGTTATTTTCCACTATTCTTTTCTATATCCATTCTATAGATATACCACATTTCATTGCGCTTGTATTTCTCTCTGTTGTTTCTTTAGTCTGTCCCTCCAGATCCTCTAGTCCTTTCGCGCTAGCCCGAAAAACGAATCTGGTTAATGCTCTTAGAAATATTTTCTGATATTCTACAAATCATCCAATACGATTCTTCTGTTTGGATACCCTTTCTCTACCGTCGCCAACTTGTAATCAATTAACCACCGACCCTTCGGTGGCGATTGGATCTCCCTTTTTCCTCGAATAATGGTAAAAGTACCTAATCCTTCCATTACTCTCTGTGGTTAGCTCCTAATCGAATTAACGTTTACTCAACCCGAAGATTAGATTTGTACAGAGTAAAGAAAAGTTTGGAGATATTGTTTATCTTAGGATTCTCAATACTCGTGCTTAATGCCGAATGTCATGTGAAATATTGTTAATCCGTATTCTTTATGAAATTGTACTTTCTGTATTTTATTTTCTAGAACCTCAGTCTGTGCGCCAGCGAAGTCGACATATCAAGGGGATAACCGTGCCTCGGCAAGGATTTGACATAATCTGACGTGAGATATTGCGTTTGGTATAGGGAGGCTCGTTTCTATGCGAATCGTTTGACTGCAGGAAGATGGATCTATTGGGTCGCAGTACTTTACGGCTCCGGATCCTTTCCGTACACTGACGATCGCCAGGATAACACAGAAGGACCACGGTATGCTCTCTTCTCTCTTTATACACCCTTGACATACAGGCTATTTGCTTTCTCTCAATTTTTCATAAGCCTTTGTTCCTCAGTCCACTTGGCCCTCGTCACGTCACTTCGATGTCCTGGACGTATTTAGACATTTGGACAGTTCACCCAGGTACACAAGGATTTCGACAAGTATGTAGGTGGATGACCCGTGCGAATGAGTACGCTAGATGCACACTGGGTATAGGAAATACTAGTAGAAAGACACAGGGGTTGGATACATTGGGTAATATCGATCTGTCAATAATCATGGATATGTACAGAACGAGGGGTGTATATTATTTTTTCATCCCCAGGGTACAATCCTTATCCCTTATTCAAGGGTTCATATATGCATTTGATTTGGGAATTGAACCGGATGCTGGAGTAGCCAGGAGATACTTTGGCGTTACAATTAAAAAAAAAAGTCCAGTCTCAAAGTCGCTGGGGATACAGAATGTCCTGGGCTCGATATCTCCAGATAAAGCTTGAGTATGTTTCATATGTCACGTTGAATTTTCGGAGGGGTTTCTAAGGCAGGAAGTACCGATGATGACTTATGGGAGATTCGCGTGGGCTGGGACCTGGGGTTGCGCGCGGGATCACGGGGTGCAATTAAGCAGGAAGTGGCCGGTGACCAGGAAGGCAACCAGGGTGGGCAAGGAACGACGCTGTTCCGTATGGCAGAGCGTGTGTAATTTCCCAGCTAATTTATTTTGCCATCTGGCAGTCCGATCGGGCGTCCCTTGTGAAAAATCGATTGGCCGTCCCGGCGTGACTCCGATACGGACGCGGCAGGACGCACCGCCACTGGATGCCGTCGTACTGAATGCCACCCCTGGCTCACTGGTTAGTTCACTCCAAGCCTTGTAGAACCGTAGAACCGTGTGGCGCTTCGATGGGTTCAGGATCCTCTGGGAGTTTCGATGCAAGCACGTTTGACGTTTTCCCCTTTCCCGTTACCGACGTCCCACCAATCCCTAGGGATTACCTTGACTCGCATATACACACCCTCGCGTATACGTTTTCATATATATCCACGTATCTCCCCTGGATACAGCTTTCTCTGGCTGTTTAACGCTTCCACTGCATCCCGATACTCGCGCCTCTCTTTTTCTCTCCATTCTCTCATACTCTATTGTATTATATTTCTAGGGCGCCGATGCAGGATACCGAGTGAAGCATGGCGAGACGAGGAGGAAGAAGAGGAGAAAAGGAAAGAAGAAAAAAGGAAAAGTACTGTCATCGACTCGCGGAAGGCATTTATCGGCGCGTCGAATCGACGTGCCAGATTCGATTTGCTCATCGAAATTTCATAATAGTCTACTTGCGTGCCGAAGCCCTCAACCGGAGGAGGACTCGAGGATAGGAATATACACCACCCTTCCCGGAGTCTCCAGATCGATGTCGAGCACCTTAACGGTCCTTCTATACCTATCCGGCCATCGCCTCTTCTACTTCCTCTTCTCTATTTCCAGCCTTCCACATCTTCGCCATCTCCAGACTCTCTGGCTTCGTCGTGTAGCACAGGCTGTCCTCCTTACTCCTTGGATATCTTCTCAACCGCCCTTGCTCAACTCTTATTCTCAACCCTGGCCCCCGCCATCCTTCTGCGGCTCTCAGCAGGTTCAATCGTCTACGGGGTGTCTTGATACCCATTTGACCAATACACTTCCGCTTTGACTTTGCTTGGAAATTTCATATTCTTTTCACACTACAGAATAGTGTATCTATTGGCATTCAATATTCGAATACTAATTAGCGTCTTGAATTCATTTTTGACATTTGATTAGACAATCAGCAGCCACTGTCGCCATTCTGCCGATGTGGGTCTTAACGAGATAGAGAAGAATGCTTTGAAGTAGATAACGAGGAATGGGAGTTGGAATTCTTTTGTGAGAATTATGGAATTGATTCAGGTTTGAAAACAGTCTCCAGACACCACCCGGTATAGAGGAGCGCTTGGTGCAAATAGACGAGAGGGGATAGTTGGTAGGTACGAGGAAGTATAAGGTGCCTTCACCTCTGAAACCCAGTGGAGCGGACATGCGATAAGGGCCCCCAACCCCAACTGGCACCCTGCTGGAGTGCAAGAGAGAAAGAGAGGGAGAGAGAGAGAGGAAAGGCCGAAGCGTCTAAAGGGTGATCGGCGTCTCAAGGCAGACCTCAAGGAGCTCCGCAATTTATTCCGATATTTAGAGCAGGCTCGAATTAACCCCAAGATGGGGGTGTCTGTCTCCTTTCTCCAACTTCGCTCCGGTTCCACTCCTTCGACTCTTTACTTCTCTTCATCCAGGATTACCTCACCCAGCACTTTCTCTCCTCTTTCAATAGCTCCGGGCACCTTCGCACCCTTATGTGCTTTGCCCTCTTTCACCCTTACTTCACCTCGTTTCTCACTTTTCACTCTTGCTCGATGCTCTTTTCCATAAATCTGGCTCCGTACACAACCCTTGAATATTCAGCAACCAACTGGTTAGTCTACTAGTTCATTGCTGACTCTACGATCAATGATCCTAATTAATTTTCTCATAGCTTAGGCATTTCCGGTATGGCTGCGTCCGGTTCTTCAAGAAAGATCCGAATATCAGAGTCCTTGAGGTCTCCTTGTGCGGGACATGTCTCTGAAGTTCGATTTCTTCGGGCGCACTCTCCTCCCTTACCTAGGGATCGCTTAGGGGTTGTTCCTGATCTGGTAGCTTCTGTAAGACAAGTCCGGCGCTTTAGGGGCTGGAGGATATGCTCGAGGATCCTCGTCCTGGTGGATCTGATTCCGTCGTAGGGTAACCTCAGCCAAGTTGCAAGGGATGACTGGCGCTAGCCGTATATAAGGGTAGTTTGCCGAGGAGTGGAGGTTGCTACGACCAGCTCGCGGTTCCTCATGGTACAGTTGCCCGTGTCGTTGATCTAGAGCCTGCAAGGGATATGAATACCGGCACGGTAGAACGCTGACTTATTTATTTATATCGGGTCGGTAAATCTCAGCGGCGTTTAACCGTCGTCTTTCACGATTTCTTTTTTTCTTCCTTCCCTTATTCTTCACTTCCGGCATCTACCGTTATCCTCATCATCTACCTTCCTCTCATTCTTCTTCTCCCGTTCGTCCCCGCCGACTCCACTTGGAACTGCCCGAAGCACGAGCGGCGCTCAAGCGAGCAACCAGACCCAGCAGAGGAGGCACACTGGTACGCCCCAGGGGCTGAAAATCTCATTCAGGAATAGGATAGTCAAAAGGAATGAGTCGAGTGAGCGTCCTGGGATTCTCGTGTTCCATCAATGTAAGAAAATTCTTTGCATTCAGGAAGGCCCTCGGAATCCAAGCGGATGAAGGGCTGTACCATTATCCTGTAAGTCAAACACCTGCCAACCCCTCGGAGGCACATCCTACCATCTCCGAGAAGGATCCAGGTAATGATCCCAGGACAATATGATCAAGAACGAAGGAGGAAGTCGAAGGAAAGATATTTATTGCCCAAGGCACCAGGGTACGTCACTTCCTTAACCGCTTGTACATACTTTACTAGAGATAAGACCTATCTGTTTCTCTACCCTTACACCTGATTATCTTATGCCGTTCCGTCCCTTCCTTCTTACTACACACTTTTCATCATTCACATTCAAAATTGTACAGTTCATCCACTTTCTCACGTGGTACTTACCAATGAACTTATCAGATCCAGGGGATGTAAAAAGATTTTTGTTATTTCAGAAAATGAAGCGACTATCGCCTCTCTTCCTGAGATCGAAGATACCCCTGATGCTGGGCACGATACTCGTGATGCTCTCTTGACTCCTCGGCCTTCGCCCTAGACATATATACGTCTACCGCATATCCCGGAGGCTGTAGGAAACAGCAAGAGGAGAAAACAAACCCCTCCGGGACAGGAGTTCCTCCAGATAGACACCCTCTGCGATGCTGCCAGGATGTGTCTCGCAACCCGTACGAGATCACGACCTTTTACTGCCTTTGGCTTTTACTTTATTTTTTATCTCTTTACTATTCCTTCCTCCTCCCTGGCTTTTCGCCTCCCTAAACCATCACATTGGAAGCATCCTGATTTCACATCAGCCTTTACTCCCATCACGTCACTTTCTGCCTTTCTTTTTTTATCTCCTCGCCTTTTTGTTCCATCTAACCCAATATCGATGCCTGTCGCCCGTGTAATTCCTTCGTACCGCAGGATACGTTGGAACCTTATCTGCTTATAGCTTTCCATTACTATGTAATATCGCGAAAAGGGGTGAAAGAATTTGTAGATATTTTTTATACACTACGCGTTAACGTGGATCTTATATTAAAGGTAAACATCTCGGACGGATTTGTTTTCACGAAGAGGGAAGAAGGTCTGAGATTTTGGATTTTTGTATGCTTAACGTGAGTGCGAGAGAGACGGTCCCATTGGTACTTTCATGCGCGAGAGTGAGACATATATATACAGTCGACGAAATTGCGGATAGATACCTTTACAAAGTTATGGCCGTTCAAAGATGCATCCGTAGCGGATCCAATTCGCGGAAGGGTATCTATTCTAGAATTTCAGATCGACGGTATGTCTGTCCTTCTCTTTCACGCGTAAACGCACATAGGAGCCTCTCTCTCGCACTCACGACGGATATGGAAAATTGCAAAATCTTAAAGGGGTACCCTCGGGATCCTTTCCGTCTCTCTTCCTGTATATACCTTTGCTCCGTATAACTGTACTTGGACGTATGTGCCTATGCGTGCTTTTTTTATTATTTATCTTTTCTTGAAACGGCTTGTCGTGAATATTATCAAGGATCTCGAAATATCTCAATAGAGTAAAATCCAATCCTACATAGACTCGTTTATCTTGGAAAATAGGTAATCTTCCACGTTAATCGGAAATTTTCTTGTAGCTAAACGGCTTCTGAAATCGAAGATCTCATTCCCGGGAGCGTGATGATATGGGATATACCTACGACTATATATACAGATGGGGTATTTATTGGATGAGATGGGGGGGAAAAAAAGTTTGCGGAGATTCGTGTTTTTCTTTGCCCGACTCTATCCGGGTTAAAGGAAACGATGGGAGAATCACGTAGAGGATGTTAAAGAGAGCGAAAGGGAATGGTGAGGATGCGGATGCGGCTTTACGAGCTGGAGCAAAAGACGCTTTTCAAGAAAATCTTTGGTCTACGATCGAACGCGTCTGTCTTTTCCTGGACCCACTGAGATGCTGAGAGAGGACCAGAGTGGAGAAACGTTTGCTAAGATAATCGGCAAGGAATGGGAAGCAAGGAAGGATCAGGCGATTGGAGGAGGAAAGCTGGCAGATTGTGCCGCAAGGGAAGTCACAATGATAAAATAACTATAAAATTACATTTTACGGGACCGAGACGGTTTATTGGTAGAATGTTTAACCCTGAGTTTATTTTATTCTTCCAGGATGAAGATTCTGCATGGGGTAACGGGACTTTAAGGAATCTTGGTCTCCATGTCACGTGATCTCTCCTTTAATTTTACGAGCCTGTTCCTTGCATGGATCTTCCCGTGTTGTACCTGAAAAATTAAAGTAGCCTTACCGTTTTGCAGGAAACTGCTGTTGCGTGCCACGAATCGGAGGAAACAACGATCAGAGCAACGAGACGCATTAACGTGGAGGAAATACGTAACCCCGTGGAAGGAGCTAACGGCGGAGTACGGACAAGGGATGCTGGAGCTGGTGGGTAGCTAAATACAGAGAGATTGGGACAAATTAAGGGAATTATCAGGAGGACGATTAAAGTCGAGGTCTGATTTAAATGGCGGCTGCCTATCTTGTGCTCTTGGAACCCTTGACGATGAGGGAGTCTTAGTTAAGCACCCTTAGAGGAGTCTTCCAGTTTCCGCCATTCAATTCTCGCGAAGTCGTATCCCGAGCAATTCTCAGGAGTAATGGAGCCGTCCGGCTTTCTCTGACGCTCTCCCATTCAGCCCTCTCCCTCGCTCTTGTATAAAGCGTCTTATTATTTCTTGTACTTTACGAAAAGCTCGTAAGTCCTTAGTGGGCGAGATTTGTGTCGGCTGGATGCTGTATGGAGTTTTATATCTCGCAAAGGGATGACGACCCTTGGAATAAGATGTACACAGCGATTGTTATACGGTACGCTCATAATATAAAAAGTCTCGCTTTATTCATGGAGCATTGATCAAGATATTATTTCCATTTTTTCCTACAAATAAATATCATGCCAGTAATTTTTTTCTTTCTCATCAGATCATCGTTTCAACTCGTCAAAGATCTTGGTGCTTCCATAGTCACCTGAAGTTATGGCCTGGCAGGGACACGAGGAGCGCTGAAAACAATTAACTCCGGGTCCCAGGAGATGGTACGTGGATGATTGAGAAGTTCGCGAGGTCGAACTAAGGTCTTAGAAGAAAGGGAGACTGTGGAAGATGAGCCTTCATGAATATATCGATATCCCATTAGAGGGTGCAGCCCATTGCTCTTGCAAGCATCAGGGGGAGACTGTTTAAAGAGAGGCTGGTAGCCAGAAGCACTGGGGTGGTCGTAAGAGTAGCTACTCCCTTAGGATGAGAGAGAGAGAGAGAGAGAGAGAGAGAGAGAGAGAGAGAGAGACAAAGAGACAGAGATATGCTAGGAGAAGCAGAATGTGAAAGGTATGGCGTATCGAGAACTCGAGCCGTGAAGTGTCGCCCTAATCCCAGCATTAATGCCAAGGCAGGCAGCCCGGATCCACTTGGTTCTTCTAAATGCAGAATACGTAGAACGTAACCTAGGGAACAGGGTGAACCTAAAGGATCTATAGTAGCTGGTAAAACGATAACATTTTCCAAGCCCTCCACCGTACCTAGTAGCCAAGTAGTTACAGCTGTTTCAAGGACAGGCATTTACCTCTTACCGTCTAGCCATACAGATAGGATTTACCTGTCCGTTTTTTGAATCTTCCTTTTGCCAATTTTTGTCCTGCCTTCCCCACCTGGGTTAAACATAAAATTCTCCCCTGTGTTAATTAACGAACGAACGATCGAACGAACTTACCCCTAGGGTCTGTCCGTTCCCCCTTACCGTATAGGTTGAATGGAATCAAGGGATAGGTCAGTCCCGTCAAATTACTACCTCCGTCATACGCACAGCATCTCCTCACCTTCCGAACAGACAACCCCTCGCGCTACTATCAATCATCCAAATGGTCCTGCGGCTTTATTACAGGAAGGGAGATTGCTGTTACAAACCCTTGTGATATTCCACCTGGTCCGACCAGTGCTGTCATCTCTATATTGGATAGCGTTCGTGTAACGCGTAGTCAGACCTAAGCCATGCAATTGTCCAGTAGTCAATCGCGTACGCAGAGTGTAGAAATAACTAGTACTAATTGCAATGTAAGGTAATTCCCATAGAACGCATTAGGATCTTTGTAAGAGAAAATTTATGTCTACTATATAAAAGGTAAACATACAATTTATCGGGGCCAAGTTAAGACGCTCACCTGTTACACGCCTCTCGGATGGTATCAGGAAGCCCGAGGTATATTTATTTGGTGCATTGTTATTAAAAGTGGCGCCCGGAGGGTGGAGGGCTGGAAAATGGATCCAGGTTTCCTTCTACCTTAATAACCAGAACCTACAGCCGTTGTAAAGTAGGGAGAGTAGCTATACCGTCTCAACGGAATATCTCTATGTATTAATACTGTAGACCGGACTGCTATATGTAGGCATATGTATACTCTGTTAGCAGCGTATACAGACTTAGCATACAAGGAATCTAGAGTTTCAATAGGGGATGCAGTCGCATGCTGGTGCATAAGGAGGATGAGTTTAAGTGGTGTAATGTCTCTGTACTGGTAGCTGGGAGTATAGTCATTCCAAGAGTGTCCCAGTAAAGCAGCTAACTAGCAGAGTGTTCTCTATTACTGCGAGACGACGCCATCGTCTTTAAGGGGTTGTTTAGTCCGACTCAAAGACTCACCGTCCCTCTACCAGCCACTACCACACGTAATGCCAACCTCTTTTTTTTTCTTTGACTGATAGCGAAGCATCCTCTCTTGAATTCGCGAGTTTTCTTCTTATCCCGTGTATTCGGAACACGTACTCCTCTTCTTCACGGCTTCGTCGATTATTGTCTCTCCTTTTTCTCTCTCTCTTCGCTTCCTGAGGAACACCACCCTTAACTGTCTATACTTTCTGCTTTTAATTCTCTAGCGCATACACCCACTCTAGCATTCTGTGTTGCTATATCTATGTGGACAGCGCATCCTTTAAATCCTATCTGAGCCACGCGGATACGTGGTTCTAATGGACATCCGTTATATTACTTTGTGTCCACTATGGATATACCTATGGTAGGCGAACAGAGTAATGCTGTGTAAATGCTTGGACAGAGAATGCAGGGTGTATGAAGAGTTGTGTAGTGCGAGTGGATCAACCTGAATTATTTTGAATTTCCTGAAAGTGTGTATGCAGAGTCTTAAGCATGGTACGTGATAGATAATCAGGATAAAAGCTAGAGAATTTATTTGATATGGAATTAACGTTGGGGTTGGAGATTAAGTGTTCGTTTTTTTTTTCAGGTTTCCAGAATCCCCAGAAAAAAATATCTGGTATTTCATAATACGGATGAAAAAATCGTCGATAGATATATACTGAATGCATTGGGATACGAAGCCGAATGGTGAGTTTTCATAATGCTCCTCCAGTTTAAAGCAGAGGTATTTAACTGTATTACACGTATATACAGAGAGAGATTCACGTTTATTTGGTAGTCACAATTCTACTCGAATGATACACTATGTACAAGGCTGTATGAGCACAGAACTTAAATTTTATATGGTATTGCTTTCTTGTCAACCGTTGATATACGTGACGTGTAAATAATTGGTATTTACGCGATTATCAGATAATAAAAAAATATTTCCAACAGCTGAATGGTGCAAGCAAGGACAGCCGATCCGGATCTTGGTGGTTCCTGAGCAAGCCTCTGATTGCTGGCTGACAGAGTGGCGCTGACGTCCGTCGAGAGAGCACGAGCTACGCTTATACCAGGCAGAACGGCCCTGCAGGTCAGAGTGAAACTGCCGCCAGGAAAATGATGACGCTCCAGACGTAGGGACAGTCCCAGTCGAGTGGTGGAGACTAGAATTCCCTCGGGACGCAGGTCAGGAAGGTTCCTCGTAAGGCTGGAACTCACCTGACGACGAAACAGATGGCGGATGAACGTATGGAGGTTAAAGTTTAACGGCGAATACATCAAAGTTCAAGGGTTGACATGGGTGGATTGTCCCCTGAGAGAATTGACTCATCTTTACCTGACGGTCGTTCAAAAGAAATGCCAACTCTGCGAGAGGGTAACTCGGAGCAGAGGTACACTCCGCCTCGAGGAGTTCACCGACCTCGTAGTTTGGCCTTACACCCTCGAGCACGGGTGGTTTCTTTGGGAGCACCGCCACGCTCATGTTGGCTTCCCTGTAGGCCGTTAAAAAATTAGGGCCCTCGGTTGATACTTCGCACCCATAAGCACCAGCCAGGCTAAATTGTTGACCTGTTGATAGACACAGATAGAGAATAGAAATGCGCTAGATAACAGATTAGAAATAATTTTTAATTCATTTAACGTTATCTGCTTGATAATATGCTACATAGCGTACTACCATGTATACAGGAGTTATTGAGTATATCTATGTATATCGCAAGATACTGTAGAGCATAGGAATTTATGTGCAATATAGTTTACTCGAATTACGAATTGATTTGAAATTGGAAATTGTAGTTAGTGTAATACCAGCGGTAACCAGACTGAGTTCTTTTGGATGCGTCCATTGTATTCTATTTGTGTATTCAAGTATTAGCAGGGGTTAAAGTTGGGATAGATTTCATAAGGTATAACTGATCCCACTTTTTCAGCTGTTTTTTTCTCTTCTTTTTCAATGGTAGGCTAGGTGCGATTCTCCACGTGAGCGTCGATATCAATTGACAATGTCAGTATCAACTCGGACGTCGGGCGTCTCGCGTTTATTTATCCGTCAGTGTATACGCGTGTTCTCTTTGTTTTATCTATAGCTTACAAATGTTATCAGACAAATAAACAATGTAAAATGCATCGAATATGCAGTGCGTGTAGTGTAAATAGTGAAAAGTGTCGTGAACGATTTTCTGACTGAAAAGTGTGAACTAACCATAAAGATCAGACGATCCCAACAGAACCAATTGATAGCTGTCGCTGCGCTTCACGTCCACCTTGATGCCTTCGACTTGAAAGTCACAACCAGGTGGTGATGATCCTGGCATGTACATGAAGAACTCTTTGCCGTCCTTGTACCACTTGACGGAGTAGAGTTCAGCATCCTCCAGGTCGTACTCGCATCTCAGTGTGACTTTGTCGGCGCGTGGATCAGCTACGAGAGGTACCTCGATTCCCAGGAATTTGAGAGCGTCCCCTGGAATCCGGATCGCCAATGATAGACCTCTCCGACGAGGAGGATCACCAGGAGGTGGCAAGAGAGCGCGTCAAGGTAAGACACTCAATTTATTATAACATATATACCGTGTGTAACATATATATCTCTCTTGACTTAACATGTGAATGGGAGATTCTTTCCATGGGTACACGAAGATGAGTATGAGGGTGGAAAGGATGGCGAAGGCTTTTTAAATAATTGTGGGCTTTTCGAAGAGACCCTCTTTCTCTCTTTGTATTTCACTAAGCAGCAGTTAACTACTACACAATGGAGACCCTTTCTCCTTGTCGCTTCTGGTGCACTGGAATGCTCCTGCTGGTTGGCTGTGCCGACGATGATGGTGGCAGCGGTGAACCAGCATCCACTCCTCTGTATAATAATCCTCCTCCCTCATCTACTCCATTCCTGCCTCTCTTACTACTTATTATTCCTCTCTCTTCTGTATGCTCAGACGGGACGGCGTTTCATTACACACGCAGGGGAGCAAGGGGGGCAACTAGGGGCAGCTCCAGCCGGAGCCAATTAAGCCAGCAATTAGTTTAATAATTAGCGGATTAATTAATATGCCTTGGCTACCCGGCGCAAGCCGCTCCCAAGTGGGGACACAATGCGCGGTGCGCCCGCTGTCTAGGAAAACGATATACGGTCTGCTCTGTTATTCCTCTATCTGTCTTCCGAGAGAGACGCAGTGACGGGCAAAGTCTGTGTGTTTGAGAGAGAGAGAGAGAGAGAGAGAGAAAAGATTGCGACAAAATTTGAAACACGACGCTCTCCAAAGACTCACTATACTACTCTCCTTTCTCTCTGTCCCCACTAGTAGAAATTCATTTCGGAAAAGATTGCGACAAAATTTGAAACAGAGAGAGACGCAGTGACGGGCAAAGTCTGTGTGTTTGAGAGAGAGAGAGAGAGAGAGAGAGAAAAGATTGCGACAAAATTTGAAACACGACGCTCTCCAAAGACTCACTATACTACTCTCCTTTCTCTCTGTCCCCACTAGTAGAAATTCATTTCGATAAGATTTAAAATTACCCTCTCATTTCTTTACGATGTCAACCCCCTCAACTTCACGTTCTCCCGCGTACTTCCCGTACCTACACACATTGTACCTCCAAGTACCTATGCTTCATTATACACTTGAATCCCGCAAGCGCACTTGACCGAATGCACGACAAAGCAATGTATCGTTTAACGTGCATAGCATAATCGTTTTCATTACCCTTCAATTGACGTCAGCAACAAATCATATTGGCAGGTTTACACGCTCGCGATTATTGTGCGAAACTTGAAAATGAATGGAAGAAAAAAAAATGTAAAATTGTTTAAAAACGTATTCTTTTTTATATACACGTCAAAGCGTCAAGCCAGTGTACGTCAAGTGTCGAGTATATTTTGTGGCCGTTACGAGTCCGTTAACCGTTCCTCCCGTTACATCCCTATTGACCCCTTACGCAGAATTGGAAGAAGGTTGTCGGAAAAGTTGTGAGAAGAACTAAGAGTGGCGGGGTCGTTTCTTTTTTTTTTTTCATTCTTTTACAAAGTGCATGTGGGCAGGTCAGGATGTCAAGTGGGATGTTCGTATTCTTCCCTCGGTCGTGAAGGTTGACGCACGATCGCGTCGCCCCGTGTACTACCAGTGGGTTAGCCAGAGGGCGCCACTAGTCCAATGTCGTAAGTGGCTAGCGCGACTGCCAACACAAAGAAACATGCGACTGGAAGAAAGAGTGATAAAGGAAGAACGCAACTCCATTTGCTCTTACCGGGTAGTCGCATTACGTGACACGCGACGTACATATGTGTGCCGCGTCGCGCAATTGCCTGCAATTGACTCTTAATAATAATAACGTCTCCTCTTCTACTTAAACCCGCGCAGTGCATCTACTTGACGTGTCATCATGCCAATGCACAGTAACGTCTACGGCGTCTTACTTGGATACATTCATGAAGGATCCCAAATGAAGTACAAGCATATTCCGGCCCACGGGCCATGAATTAATTATCGACCCACCCCGTTCTTCTACCCTCTCCTCCGTGCGTGCAAGGAATGTCAGCTGCGAACAGATTTCGTCCAACAACACTTCGAGCGCCCGATATGCACGGCCCTGATGATAAAATTTCTATTCCGGTAACTCAGTGTTTTTCTTCTACCTCTCGATCTGATCTTTGAAATTCAATTGACACTACTGGCTTTGCTTCTTGACAAGGTGAAAATCACGTTCACGCGTCTTACGTAACTTTTTCTTTACCTCCGGACTCCCCTGAGACTATCTATCGCGGAGACCCTCGTCTGATTGATCATCGTTCTACTTCTGTTTTACTTGGGACGGGAAATGTTTGTACATGACGTCGCTAGAACATACATTTACTTTCCCACGGTTTTCAATGTTATCGCTGTATAATATTATCAAGCTACATACATGTCCGATCAAACGTACGAAACTACCACGTGCGTACGTCCTACCCACAGAAACCGCAGACTCCGAGTGTCCCGAGTGCCTTTTACGGTCTACCGTCTCTCCTCAAATCTCCGAATTAGGCCGAGGCACGTGCCCGGAATTATCTGTGTCGTCGCGCTAGCCAATTTCGAATCTATTTCGTTGATACCCTTAAATTTATTGGACCATAAACAATAGACCCTGCATGGCGATAGTATCGGTCGTCTTGTAATTTCATATATATACAGACACGTGTCTACCCCAATTTTTCTAATTGGACTAAATATTCAATAATTTTTATAATCATTTTCTATATATTTTAATTCTTCCTTGCAATAGCTTTTTCCGTCTCTCTCTCTCTCTCTGCCTACCTATACCACCGTTCACCTATCTACCTATACGTCTGCCCGTCTATCCAAACTGTCTGCTTCCGTCTGTCTCTCCATCCATCCGTGTTACTCGTGTTGTCTCCACGTTCTCCGTTCGCGTTCTCATCGGCGAGATAATGAAGTCTCTTCGCTCACAGCAGGACGAGCACACAATTAACGTTGTAAGCGCGGATGCTTTGAAAGGACTCGGCCGTGTGGGGAATCCGGTTAATTTCATAATGAAAGCCTTCCGGATTGGCTTCCTCGTCGACGTAGCGACGCGCTTTCCGACAGAGTTATTATTTTACGTAATATTATCGTTTTTACTCTTCGCGTACGTGCCGATAGCCAGCCAACCCTTTTTTTTTTCATTTTCTTCTTCAACCCGTACAAACCGAACAGGGATCTATGGAAATTTGGACTGTCAATCCTGGTCGAACCCATATTGCCCGTTCTTCCCCATTTGATGTCTCATAATTAGGTCCGTGACGTCACTGTATCCCGACGCACGTCAATCGTGGACGCGCGGATGAGATGCCCGATTAGATTTCCGTGGTGCCCCCAATGCGTGCGACAGAGACGGAGATCGGTGGCAGGATTCACTTTTACTACGGACTGTAATCGAGCCTAACGAATCGCTAGGAAACTAACGAGCCTCGAATGGCGCTGCTTGCCCCGGCTTGGCTTTCATTCGTGCGATCGGCTGCAATCGCACTTTTTCTTTTTTTTTTTTTTTGTAAACAAATCCAGGCTAACGAGTGGACCGCCAGATTCATTATTGACGCTGGTGCTTACGACGTCGATAAACACCGTATTATTTGGGGACTCTTGTTGCGCAATTTGTAGATATTTCTTTGGGGCACCGGACTGACCGTGTATATTTGACACGATAGCCGCTTTATACGCTCGCTTTTCACGGCTGACGTCTATTCCAGTGAACTTCGAACTGCGTTACGATAGCACAAAGATAGAGACTGACAAATGGCTAAACGCGCGGTCATAGATGGATGGATGGGGTTTTGGTAGGCTGGTACAGAAACTGCAGAGGGAGATGAAATGTCGCGGGATGGTATTGTTTGAAATGGTTGGCTATAGGCGTATGTATATATATATATATATATATATGGGTATACACGTGTACATTCTACCTGACGTATACGCGGTCTACGTGGCACAGTGGAACGGCCGCATAATGGCCACGCGCAACTGAATGCACGTCCGCCTCCGGGATAATAGCGATCGGTACCCGATCGCAACGGAATGCCTCAATTATGATTCCATTGTTAATTATTACGTTCTCCCGAGCATTGTACGGTTGCCAGGACTAATGGTCGTCTGGTTCTTTTTTTTTTTTTTTTTTTTTTTTTTTTTTTTTTAACGGAATGCCTCAATTATGATTCCATTGTTAATTATTACGTTCTCCCGAGCATTGTACGGTTGCCAGGACTAATGGTCGTCTGGTTCTTTTTTTTTTTTTTTCTTTTTCTTTTTTTTGTTTACCCGTCATTGTTACTCTTGCGTGGTACTTTTTTCTTTTTCACCACGACCCCCCAGTCTTCGCAGTCCCCAGGATATCGCGTTCTGCGTGCATCCCCGTCTCCGTGACCCCAGCGGCGACTTCCGGTCTCTTCTCGGTTCTTCAGGCTGGCTAAGTTCAGTCCCGAACCCGATCTGCACGCGATCTTGTCGAATGGCGATCGATCCTTTTTTTTTTTTTTTTTCGTGAAAGGGGAGTGGGATTCATTCGTTGTACAGTCTGACGAAAAAGTTAACACGAGGACTCCGTGTATTTAACGTATGAAAATATTGTACGGCAGTCTAGACGATAACGTCGCGTTCACGTTAATTCGCGATTCTCGACGTAGCGTTATTTCGCCGGGGCTGAATTTACTAGGAAGATACCGGGATACGGGATCGACGCCGTAGACGTCGTTTATACGGATTACGTCATCGGCGCCGTCGACCCTCGTTTGCATGTATTCCCTTCGCGTCGCGGTGGATGCACGTTACTTGCCAGCTTGTACCTGGAGACGCATCGCGGTTCTGTGGTTTGTCGCGAGAGAGAGAGACGTAGATAAGGGTTGACGTCGCCACGAGTAACGGGCGTCGCTTATCTGAGAACGCGGACGGTCTAACGAGCGTACGACGGGAATGGCAGAGCGACGGCGTAGCCCGAGGACCGGCGAGCGTCCACTGGGCGAAGGAGGGGAAGTGGTGGTGGGATTTGTGGGAGGGATGAAAAAAATGGAGAAGTGAGGGGTTCCTATGAAAAATTGAAAAAATGGTAAAAATTATATATATATATATACATAAATAGACAAAAATTGAAAATTTATCCCACCAACCACCATCGTCATCGGGATTCGAACCCGGATGAGATATTCCTCCCGATCACGGATATTCTAATGGACTCCCTTCTTCCCTCGTCGTCCTTTAACACGACCAAGTAAAACTGCGGTTATTTGCGGTGCACTCGAATCGAATTGGCTGCCGTTTGCATAATCTTCACCTATCGCACCCACGCGAACACGGTTCCCCCATTTCTCCGCTGCACGTCGCCAAATTCCAGTTTTCCCATCCGGCTCTCTACCGTTTCTCACTTTTTTTAACCCGAAATCTCGTATTTCTCCTCGCATCGCGTCCAGGTCCATTACCCTTATTCCCGGCTAACGCGCCGCTTCTATTTTTCGCTTGGCCCACTTCCGGTAACCTCTTTCAAGGACACTGGTACCCATCGCTTCCGGCAGCCTATATCTGCCGATCGCGCTATATTCCCTACCTTCCCTCCTAAACGCCATGGCACGTTTCGATTCGATCCCATCTATCTCGTCTAGTACCAACTATCCTCCCATCTCTCTCGCTGTCCCTATCTCGTTCCTCCTTCGCAGCTATAACTCTTTACGAGGCCATCGGGTCCATCTCCGACGCGAGTTACCGGTAAATTTGTGCGCGATTCGCCAGCCCAGATAGCTCGTGTCCTAAACCAGCGAGAATCACCGAAGGATCCCCCCCTTGGCCGTACACGATTTTCCATCTTCTCCAGGCAAATCTTCGCTGAGGTCGTGCAAAACCTCGAGGCGGCCGGTAAAGTCATTTTCGTTTGTTATCGACACTAGCTGCGAACCTAATCGACGCTCGGTATTATTTTCGTTGACGCATGACGTCACGCGGGGACTCGTGGGTGACGAGCGCGAACGAACGTAGATAGTCTAAGGGATATAGAAGTCTGTTATTATACCTGCTGGCAAATTAACGTGGAAGAGAATGACCTGCAGGACTACGAAGAGGGATGACATTCTTGACAGGGCTGGTCTTACAGTACCGAAGGATGCTGCTGGTCCACCTGATCCAGGGACGTACCACTTGTCACCGGTCGTCCTCCGAGTGTTCATCGCTCGCTTGACATTCGTGTACCAAGTAGACATTCGTCTACCCCTAAAATAACACTTGTTGTAAATTCAATCTCTCTCGGCACTTAACAATTTCTTCACCACCCGATAGATTATACCTCGTTTATGTATTACGGTACTTGGAACTGACTACCCTTGCACGCGGTACCGGTTTATATGTTCTTTCGGGTAGCCGGGCGGTATCGTGCGCTATCAAGTTCTCCGACTCGCCGCGATCGACCGATTTCGCACTTATTAATCTGGACCGATAACGCTTCCTCCTGCTATTCACTCCTCTTGCTCTCGAAAGCCTCGACTACGTATCCACGTCGTTTCCGTTTACTTCGCTGGGTAACGAGTTCAACAGGGTTGTTTTGTTGTAGGGGTAGTTTTTTTTTTATAATTTTTTTTTTATAATTTTTTTTTTTTTCTTTTTTACGGGAGCAATCGGTTTTCGCAAATTTTCTTTTTTCCTCGCTTTTCACGTTTCACTCTCACCCGCTGGTACCGTGACTCGCTGGGCGATGATGACGTCACTTTTTTTTTTTATATCGCAGATCAATTCTTGGCAAAGGGTCCGTCGAAGATGACAAAATCGAAAATTTTTTTTTTTTTTTTTTTTTTTCACATTGCACGCGGTCCTGCGAATTATTGTACGTCTTACTCTCTCGCACTTTATCCACTGGCGTCGCAGATACACTCGTCGGATTCAGACCATGGGATTCTCTCTCTCTCTTCGTCTCTGTTCTTTATCATCTTTTTTCTTTCTCCTTTGTCCCCTTTATCTGCGTCTTGCGTTTGCTCCGCTAATCAGCTTAATTATATCCTCGTGGGCCACCCCCCCCTCCATTCTCACCCCTCCCGACAAGGGGGGCAGTAGGATGCACGATAAGCCTCTAAGTGACACTGTGACTCAAGTTCTCCTCGACCACCCCCTCCCTCCCCCTCGTTAACGAGACGAGTATCTCACTCGCAATCCCCAGTCGAAGCTTCGCTCGCACGAGTTCCGGTTCCTCTCAAGTGCTTCTGTACCTTCGACACTGATAACGAATCGTCGCGATAACGTCCGGCATCTCTGGCTGTAATTCCGTCAGGGAGCGTCGAGACGCGATAGAGAATCTGGACGTGCGATCGACCTATGGCGATTTAAAGATCTTAATGAAAAAAATCTCCGACCCCCTCCGCGCCCCGTACCTCGTGAATACCAAACGCGCTTCCTGTCCACCCTCGAAATTCGAACATCCGGTAGATCGGACGGTGTTAAAGAATTTTGGTAAAAAACGAAAAAAGTACTTTGGCGGGAGTTTTCCTATTTTTTTTGAATATTTTTTCTTTTTTCAATATTTTCTTTTCCCTACGTCCGCTACACACTCTTTCGAAAAAGTTTGTCAAAACTTTTTCAAACGTCCCGCCGTTTTCATCCCGACCGCACTGACCGAAACTTTACTCGCTACTCGGTCGCGTCTCTTGTAGTCCGCCCGTAGCGGTTGTTTGGTTTAGTTTTATTTTTTTTTATTTTCCGCTTTGTTTTCGATACGAAAGTCCGTACGATCGAACAAACTGAGCACGCTGATTTTACTTTTTTTATAATCCCCGCGCGACAACGCGACACTGCGATGCCACCGTGCGGTTTGGCACGAGTCTATGCTCCTGTTGCGAGAACAGTTGGCAGTTGACAGAATGAAAAGGGGTTCCGTCCTGGGTGCTTGGGATAACGTGCTAGCGGCGGCGGGACAGTGCCACTCCCACTGGCGCATGCTCTCGCCTTCTTTGGACGATCGTGTTCCCTTTCTCTTTTCCTTTCCACGCTCCCTCTCTCTCTCTCTCTCGCTCGCACTCGCACACAGACGGACACCCTCTCCGTATCTCTCTTTGGCAGCAGCGCCTACCATCAGGAGCGCACGGTGGCTGTAGACACTGTATCACGTTCCTGCTACCAAAACGCACACAAGTATCCCCTCGTGTAATCATGGGGGGTGAGTTGTGAGAGAGAGAGAGAGGGGGGGAGGGGGGGGAGCAATGTTGCTGATGGTGGGGACCATAAAGCAATTAATTGAAGTAATAAGCAACCAGGGAGTAACTTTTATGCTTTGCGTCCATTTCTGTCTTCCCTTCTCTCTTTATCTCTTCTTCCCATGAGCCCCTCTCGCCGTCCCTCTTCCACCCGTCTAACTCGTTACTCCCTGCTAGTTACTTTCTGACGCTTCTTCAAGTCGAGCCAAAGATGAAGTGCATAATTCATTCGTCGCTCCTGATTAACCGCCGTCAAATCCCCTGGCGGTAGATTCGCGAAGCTTCCAAAGTTATTCATCTCTCTCTCTCTCTCTCTCTCTCTCCCTATATATATATGTGTTTCGCATGTACCTTTGTCTCTGTATCCATTTCCTCGTCTCGGTATGACGCCGGGCGCAGCTGTGTGCTGGGTCTGGGTTGGTTAACGCGTGTCAAAGAGCACCTTCGCTATGTGCATTATGTATGCGAAAAGAAAGTTTACCGGGAAAGGAGACGCGTCATGGGAATAGGAAAGCGGTACCGCCGGAAGTACGTTTCTTAAGTGGTCCAGTGGGAGGAGGGAAGAGAGAGAATCGGCTAACGATAAGATGTCGGATAAGGGCGAGAGCGAGCCGTTACGGTCTTCTTGGCGGATTCTCATGGGTAATGCGGACGCGATATTCGAGACTGAGGATAAGGGTGGAAAGGAAAGGCGGTAAATATGGTTAAGGGTGGTAAAAGTGGTAGGCCGAGGACAGAGTGAGAGAGACTGACGTATACGTAGACGCCATAGGTATAAGGTTGTACGTGGACGGGAGTGGGTGGAAGGGGGGAGGGGGGCGAAAGGCTCGAAAGAAAGTCTGAACGGATTAACCCCCTTTCACCCTTAACGTACTTAACTTTGCGCATCTCCCGTCTCGTCTCTGTCTCTCTCGGTCGCTATATCGATATAATGGCAAAAATTAAAGACATAATGGCCGACCACTTTGCGAGAAGGTTGGAGTGAAATATTTTTTTTTTTTTTTTTTTTTTTCCCCCGGGAATGCGGCCGCGATAAGGGCGCCCTCCCACCAGAACGGCGGTTACCTCCGGAAGCTACTACGTGGCGAAAGTAAGGAGTCCGATGCCGGAGGTCGCGGTTGTCGCTCGTAAGGACGGCTTAACGTCGCCTGAGAGGGCCATTCGTCTCGGCGACTCATCTCCACCCATTGCGACTCTCATTTACTATCCTCTTACGACTTACGTCGTCCCGGTGACTCGCCGGCGAATTCGATCCCACCCGGGGACTCCCCTTTTTACTTTTTACCGGCTGAACGGGCCGGGGGGGTCCTCTTCTTCACATCCTATATGCTCCTTGGCGGACCAACGGTGCCGTTGGTACGGTTACCCGGACTGGGTCCTCCTTTGGCGTAAGGTCAGTCCAGACAGCAACCCCTGACGCCTCTTACCTCTTGGGGTAGCGGCATGGGGGTGGCGAGGGGCACAAGAGGGTTAAAGGCCAAGCGGGAGACTTCCCTCGCACTAATGGACCGCGTGCGGTAGGCCGGAATTATGTCGACCCTAAAGGGGCTCGACGAGTCCACAAGTCCATCCAGACGCCATGCGGATCGCACGGGAAGTGAATCCCGGTCTCCAACCCTTATTATCGTCCTATGATGGTGAAAGTTGGTCCGGGGTAGTACTTTCTTTAAAATCCACTGGAATTATGCCGACTTGCCTGGTTTTATCCGGACAGTTATATGTGTATGTATACAATATTTTTTCTCTTTCTCTCTTCAAACAGCGCTCTTCTTATTCTTCCTTTTATACTCGCCTTCGTTTTCTATTACTCTGGGAACTTTGTCGAGCGGATTTGGAATTCTCGAAGAATTTCGTTTAGTCGACGTGGGAGCCACGGAGAGAAATGTCAAACGTTCCGATACACCGTTTGGTACGACTTTGAATTCCAACCGTCGCGGAGCTTCGCACGAAACTCGACGGTGGCGCTGCTTGTTCAAGATTGGCATCGACTATCGAGACAACGGTGGCGCCACTGTTTTCCACGGCCTACGCGCTAGCCGATTCTTGTAAGCCAACGAATATTTGCCCGGGGATAGTTATAGGTAAATTGGACGTGACGGTAGCCACAGCAGTGTACATGTAAACCGTGTATTAGGTCTAGGGAAGTTGTATGGGGGATGGCGAGCACGTTCCGCTCGGAGTTTAAGGCCGTGGGGAAGGGGGCCTTTATGCGTTCGTATACACGACGTGACGTGGGTGGCGGGGCGAGGGGAGGGAGCGATGGTTATTGAATTATTAATTAAGCCGGTTAATTAATAAACGATAGGCTACAGGCCCGGCAGCCAGCCAGCCAGCCTGCCGTCATCGGTAAGCCAACCGTATAACCCTACCGTGAACAACATGACGTTGGACTATTTGAGGCTGCGACCCTCCCTTCGGGGTATTTATTGTCGAAAATTTGCTTTTTCGTAAAATCAACCCCCCCCCCACGTCTTCGCCGCTTGACGATTGGTCTCTCCACCCTTGATGTTAGATATACGACTACCTGCCACCTCGACCACCCCCTTTTGCGCCACCTCTCCCACCCTCTGTCCATCCCGTATCAAATCGATCGTTTCTAATCGTTGAGGCTCAACCTCACGAGCCAGGGCCTGAATTTTACCCCGGTTCGGGAGAAGAGTGTGAAAGTTCGCCGAGGGGCTGTTTTATCGCCATCCTTCAACCCCCATTAATCATTCTTTCGTATCAAGCAAACGAGGCCCGAGGAAGCCTTGACTCTGGGTTCCGTCTCCTTTCGCCCTTCTTTCGCCGCCGACACCCTCCGACCCCTGCGAGCAACGACGCTCAAGAAGACCCCTGAGACGCCTGGCTGGCATCCCTTGAAGAGAAGACACGCACAGTATGGCGTGTCTTTCACAAGATACAGAAATATACCCAGCATCCCCCTGAAATATCACTAGAGAGACGATATACAGCAATCAGCCGGCTTACGTGTAAGGGGGTAGCTACCCTTGCGCATTTTTTTTTTTTTTTTTTTTTT